GTCCTGTGTCCTGCGCCCCTGTCCCCTCTTCCTTTTTCCCCATGACGCAGTCTCTGAGCAGAGAGGAGGGGCACCAGGACCAAACGGAGGAGCAGACAGAAGCTAAGACCCTGTTCTGGGGGGGACAGATCGGACTCACCAGCTTCTGGCCCAGGCTCCCAAGGGGCAGGCGAGGAGGCAGGCGGAGGGGAAATGCCCGCTGTCCTCGAGGCCGGGCGCGCGGTGGGGGGCAGGGGCCGGGTCGCTGCCTCCCTGAACACGGAGCTGTTGCTGCCCACTGCGGGGGCCGTGGGAGGGCCAAAGGCCAGCGGCATGCCTGGGCAGGGGAGGGGTGGTCATCACCCACCCTGCGCCGCCCACAACTGCTGCACCCCCCGCCCCAGGCCACGGACGCAGGGTGAGGTTTCACAGGTAACCCGGGGCCCGTGGGCAGTCTGAGCAGAGAAAGTGGGGGCATGAGGCACGCGAGGAAAACACCCGAGCCCCCCCACTTCCTGTTCTCCTCTTGGGACTCTGCTGCACCTGCCTGCCGGCTTCTCCCCGAGCCCCTCACCGTCACACACGGCCCCGGCGTCCTCCCGGTGATGACAGTCGTGCTGGCCCCAGGGCCTCGAGGGGCAGAACCGCAGGGCCGTCTCGTTTCCCCGACACCGAAGATCGTCCAGGAGGATGGGTCCGGCCCCCTCCCCAAAGAAGGCCCCTCCGGGCGCGGCCAGGGCGGCCCCGCAGCCCAGCTCCCGGCAGGCCACCGCCGCGTCCCGCAGGTCCCAGGCGTCGTCACACACGGACCCCCAGCGGCCACCGTGCCACACCTCCAGGCGGCCAGCGCACCCGTGGGGGCCGTCGGCCAGGCGCAGCCGGGGGGCCGGGCCTGGACGTGGCGGGAGAGAGGAGAACAGAGAGATGGCACCGTGACGCTTCCCACCCAGGAGGAGGAGGCTGGAGGTGAGGGAAAGGCTCGAGGTGGAAAAGCCACTCACTACAAGAGTCCACATCTAGTCCACACCCCACTTCTCCCCAGGCCCCCGCCTGCCCAGGGCTACACGGCACAACCGCCCCAACCCTGCTTTGTCCTGGCCTCCTGGCAGTGACACCTGGGGGACCATTCTTCTCTGAGGGGACCGTCCTGGGCACTGTCCAGCACATCGGCCCAGCAGCCAGGGCCCCACCCCCGAGGTGCAAGGCACACCCACACCTGGGACAACGGCCATGTCTGCAGACTTTGCCAGCAACCCCTGGGGAGTGGGGGTGGGGAAACTGTGACTGCCCTCCTCCCCCGCCCCCGCGGACAACTGTCCATCCAGACAGTAAAGTGTTGTGGGTTCTAGGGAGCACCTGGGTTGGGTCCTCCTGGGTCAGAGCTGGGATGCCACGGCGGGGTGGGGTGTGGAGTCCATCCCTACCAGCCAGCATGGGGGAGTCACCCCAAGACAGTGATCTAGGGGGAAGAACAGGCCCCCTTCTCTAGGGGAGAAGGCAGAAACTCTTGCCCTACGTTTCCTGTTCGGTCTGCTCCTGGCCTCACAGACAAGGAGCGTCCGAACGGCGTTGCTGAGAACGAAGGGTGTTAAGGCTCGAGCTTCCCGGGCGCCTCAGTGGGGTTCGCTTCTCCTCGAGAACAACGTAACCGTCTCCGAAGCCTCGACTTACCTCCCGTGAACGGGCCAGTGGCATGTGGAGGGACCCCCTCACTGTCGCTGGCTCCCAGCTCCCGGCCCCACCCTGTCCGGCTGGCCTCTATCCACTCTCACACTGAGCTTCACACCCGGGGCCAGGGTGGGGCCGCGCCACGGGGTGGGGACAGGCCCCGGCTCGGGCTCAGGACGCACCTGTGCAGACCAGTCCTGCGTCCTCGCTGTGGTCGCAGTTGCTCCGACCCCAGGGGCTCCGGGGACAGTCCCGCAGGGCCTGCTCGCTGCCTCCGCACCCCACGTCATCCATCCACACGGGCCCGGAGCCCTGGCCGAATCGGGCCCCTCCGGGGGCGGCCAGCGCCCCTCCGCAGCCCAGCTCCCGGCAGGCCACCGCGGCGTCCCGCAGGTCCCATCCGTCGTCACACACGGTCCCCCAGCGCCCCCCATGCCACACTTCTAGGCGGCCCGCACACCCGTGGGGGCCCGAGGCCAGGCGCAGCCGCTCTGGGGAGACAGAGACGGACAGCAGACTCAAACGTCCCTCCCGGGGAGGACAGCGAGGGTCTGCGTGGGGCAGGGTACTTGGTTGCTGGGAGCAGACACCTGGGTTCCCTGACCGGGTGGTGGGTTGCGGGGGACATGGCCCAATTCTGAATCCTAGGGGCCGCGGGTTAACGGGAAGACACCCCGGGGGCCTGGGTTGGTCCACACTGGGCTGGGCCTGCCCCCATCCCGATCTGCGGAGGGGACGTACCCTGGCGGGGGGCTCCAGCCGTCAGCGAGGGGGCCCTGGTGGACTTGGCCTGCTTGGGCGGCCGGGGACTCTTCTTCCGGGAGCTGCCCTGGAGGGTCCCACCTGGGTGGGGGGCTGGGCGGGGAGACAGCAGGGAGGGAGGTCAGGAGCCACTCACCCCTGCTCCTGCCTGGGCAGCTGGGATGGGGACTCTCAGGGTTGGGGAGGAGACGGGCATCTGTCCCTGGGCCATCAGATGGGAAGGCCCTGCTCCCTCATGGCTGAGCAGTGGGGGGCGCGGGCAGGTGGACTCACCATGCGTCACGGGGGGCTCCTCAGAGCTGGGGCTCAGCTCCTCAGACAGCCCTGGCCAGGGGTCCACATCCAGGAGGGAGAGTGGACCCTCTGTGTCCCCTGAGTCGGCCCCACGCTGACCTGTGGAGAGCAGGGAAGCCATGGAGGGGCGGGCCCCGTGAGAGGCTGGGCGGGACCCCTGGGCCACGGGGAGTCCGGGCCCTGGAGGGGGTGTAGGGACCGCCGGCCCCTCCAAGTGACGGGGATGAGACTCGGGGTCCTCACCTGCACAGACGACGCCTGCGTCCTCCTCGTGGGAGCAGACGTGGGCCTTCCACCCACGGTGGGGGCACAGCCCCAGCTGCCCCTCGCTGCCCCGGCAGGCCAGCTCACTTAGCCACACGGGCCCTGCGCCCTCCCCGAAGAAGGCGCCCCTGGGGGCGGCCAGCGCCCCCCCGCAGCCCAGCTCCCGGCAGGCCACCGCGGCGTCTCGCAGGTCCCATCCGTCGTCACACACGGTCCCCCAGCGCCCGCCGTGCCTCACCTCCAGCCGGCCCGCGCACCCGTGGGGGCCGTCGGCCAGACGCAGCCGCTCTGAAGGGACAGAGGGAAAGCCGTGACATCCTCGAGGCCCCGGGGCCAGGAGCTGTATTACAGGGTGGGGACCCCGACTCCTGGCGCCCAGCCCAGTCCGTGTTGTATGGGAGTAGCTGGCGAGCCGCCCCGGGGAGCTCTGAGGGGAAAGGTGCCCTGAGGTCATAGCCAGATCTAGGGGCGGCCGGGGTCACAAGGGAGGGCAAGGCCAGGGATGGGAGGGGCCTGGGGCCGGGCGAGGCCAGACGGGAGAGCATTTGGGGCCACTTACCAACGGCCTGGATCCCCATCAGAGCGGCTGGAAGGGGGGGTAGGAGGGGTGGGACACATGAGGGCAGGCCCAGGGGTCCTCTCTCCAGTAAGGCCCACCCAGCCACACATACACACACAAACCCTCGCACCTCTGAGCCAGCAAACCCCCACTGTCAGGGAGGGAAGTCACTGGGCCCAGAAGGAGGGGACCCAGATGTCCCAGGTCAGGGCTGGGGACCAGGCCCTTGTGCTCCCCAGAGGCCTGCCTGGCTGCAGGTCAAACGGTGGATAAAGACCCACAAGGGTCAGGGCTGCTGGTGGAGGTGGGGGGTGGGGGAGCAGGTCCCTTGGGCTCCTCAGACAGTGGGACTGGGCGTGCAGAAGGCTGGGTCCCTGGGGACGTCAGGCAGGGAGGGCAGCCGTCCTGCATCCCCAGGCACCAGGAATGGACCCCGGAAGTCTGCATTCCTCAAGTGGACGAGCTCAGGGGTCAGGGGGTGGGGCTCAAGTCCCAGAGTCTGCAAGGAGAAGGGGCCACTCACCGAGGAGGCAGGCCAAGACCCTCATGTTTGCGGAGTCCGGGGCAGGGGTGGGGTGGGAGGGGATGGGAGAAGCGGAGGGGAGGAGGCAGCGGCCACCGGAGGGAGGGAGGGGGACGCGCCCGCTGAGGCGCCCTGGACCCGGGAGGAGCAGGCAGGAGCTGGACGCTTTGCCAGGAGCCAGGGAGGCTGCCGAGGAGGCAGCAGGGGACAGGAGGGGGGGGCGGGGAGGGGGCTGGCCAGCGGCTGAGGCCTGGGGAGGAGGGGGGTTGCGGGCGGGAGGGAGGGTGTCCAACTGCAAACACCCACACAGAGCCGGTCAGGCTCACCCGGCGGGAGCAGAGATGCTTAGGGGGCGGCAGGCTGCACTCGGAGGCTGTGTGGGCAGGGCGCCCACCCCTCTGCCTGATCTCCTGTCAAGCTGGGAAATCCAAGTGCTGGGACCAGGGCAGAGGGGCTGGAGCCTGGATTCCTGGGAGTCGCTGGGGCTGGAGATCACGGTTCAGCAGCAAGAGGGCTTCCAGCCAGACACCAGGAAGGACTTCCTGGATTGGGGAAGGAGAAGGAGAAACCTCTCTCTCCATTCCCCTCGGCTGGAGTTGGATGCAAGGCCCCCCCATCTCGGGGAGAAGTGGCTGAGCTTGTATGTCCCCTCAGGGAGCTGGGGTGGGGGATGGGCAGAGCCAAGGTCGAGGCCTGGGCGGGAGGCAGCTGCACACTACTCAGGCACACTCACACACTCACACACTCTGCGCCGGGCAGCTGGGAGGTGGAAAACTTGGGTAATGGGGAGCGTGAGTCAGAGGGCTGGCTGGGAGCGGGGCTGCCGTGAGTGAGCTCATCACCTCCCCTCCGGCCGGGCCAGCACCCCCACCAACAATTAATGTCAACTCGGGGGAAGGAGGAGCCAGACGGAAGGGGCTGGTTCGCAGACGGACTGGAAAAGGCATCAGAGAGAGGGATCCGGGCCACAGAGCAGTTTCAGGCTTTATTCACAACCGGGTGTAAAAAACCAGACGGGTCTGGCTGCCCCTCTCAGCCTCCACCTTCCCCCCCCCCCGGGGAGGGGCCGCCCTTATGCTCGCCCCCTCCTGGCCCTGGGCTCTCTGGGAAACAAACGTCTCTGGCGGAGGCTCTGCTCGTCCCTCTGGCTCCAGACCCACCCCCTTCAAGCACATGCATTGAACCCCCGCCGTCCCCACTTGAAAGACACAGACCAGGAGAGATTTCTCAGTGCAGACAGAACCTGAGGCAGGGGGTGGGACAGGCTGATCTCTCAGAGAAGTTCACACATTACAGATGAACCTGAGACTGCAGCCGGGTCTCTTGCCCTCTGCAGGCCTGAGTTTCTTGGCCCTAGGTGAGCTGGGGATTTGCACAGGGAAGACGTGAATGTGCCTGCTGCATACAGGAGGTGCTCGTGCACACAGTAGGTGCGCACGCACACAGTAGGTGTTCAGCTCAGAGTCACAAGTCCTTGCTGAACTCCCTCACCAGAGTGTAGCCCATGCAGCCCCAGCTCCCCTCAGCCTGGTAGCCACAGCCCTCCAACATCCCAGCCACGCCCCAAGCTGCCACAGCCACGGGGACCACGAGGCGGGCTCGGGGCTCCCCTGCCCCACCTGCCCAGGTGCGTACCCGGGACTCAGCGAAGGACAGCAGCCGCCTGCCCACGCCCTGGCGACGGTGCCAGCGGGAGACGGAGAGGCGGGTGACCCGGGCCCCGTCCCCAGCGTTGGAGCCCAGGGCCAGGGCCAGGACCCCGCACACGTCACCTGAGCCGCACACAGCCACCCAGGGCCCCCCCAGGCTGCCCGGAGGAGGCAGCGAGCCCCACCGAGCCCGAAGGCCCAGCTTCATGGCTGCCACAGCCAGGAATACGGGCAGTAGGAGGGCCAGGGCGAAGGAGGCCAGGACAAAGCGCAAGCCACTGCTGGCCGCCGCCAGGAGGAGCAGGGCAGGTGGCCGCGTCAGGGCGTGGAGGGCCACTCGGTTCTCCGTGTCCTTCACGCCAGCCTGTGGGTAAGAGGGGCAGTCAGAGCCGGGGACCTGGCCTTCCATCATGCTGGGGCACCCTTGGGCGCCAGGGACTAGGAGAGGAGCCTGACCCTGTCCAGGAGGGATCCGGGGTGGGGGCTCCCAAAGGAGATGGGAAGGCAGTGGGAGGGGCCTGTGGCAGAGGGCGGAGCAGGACTGCGGCTGCCCTAGGCACCAGCACACACTGGGTCTGGCACACTGTGCTCAGGGGGAAGGAGGGAGGAGAGTGTGACTTAGGATCTCCAGGGTCACCCAACTCAGAAGAAGGGCAGGAGGGAGGCACCAGGGAAGGCTGAGGCTGGAGCAGGACAGGAAACTGCCCCCAGGCCAGAAAAGGGGCACTCTCTGGACAACAAGAGAGGAGCCTGGAATGGGGGAACTTCAGTACAGGGCCGAGGCCCCAGGGGCTCTCCTCTGAAGAGTGCGGGGCAGGAGGTGGCGACCCCCACAGCCCTTCCTGACCCCGAGGGAAGGAAGAAGGCACTAGGAGAAGGGGCCAGGTCAGAAGTGGCCTACAACAAAAGCTGCTTCTCCAGGGCTCTGGGCTGGCCCTGCCTCCAGCGCGGGCTGAAGCCGCTTCACTCGGCTGCCCCGCCCCCAGGCTAGGCTCACTGGTGCCCCCGGCAGCCCTCACCTTCAGCATCTCCAGCACCAGGAGCTTCTCATCTTCCCTCATCTCCCGCACCGACAGGTGGCTGGGGGCCATGGCAGCCCCGGCGCCCCTAAGGGAGCAGGCGTGCACCTGGTGAAAACAAGCAGGTCAGCATCAGGAACGCACCTCTGGGGGTCCCCAAGAGCCCCATGGGTGGAGACCAGCAGTAGCATATCCCAAATGAGAGCACTGAGGACGCTCGGGGCCTTCCAAACGACAGTCGAGGCAGGACAGGCTGCCTCCTCCAGCCGGCGAGCTTCCTAACGTCTCCCGGGATCCAGCCCCCCACCCCACCCTGTGGTGTTCAGCGATCTACCCCTAAAAGCTGAGTGGACGCCAACACCTGGCAACACGGGGCTTCTTCCCAGGCTCCGGGGCTGCCCTGGGGATAGGGAACATCCCCCGCAACGACCAGGGGATGGACCGCGCTCCCCACGCCCCAGCGCCCGTCTCCCACAGTCGCTGCAGGACAAAGACCTGCAAGCACCCCTGCGAGTAGCTCTGCTCCTTTGACAAGGTGTGTGCAGGACGGGCAGGGGGTGGGCAGGGTCGGTAAGGGGTCGCCGGCGGAAGTGACGTCAGACTCGTGCGCGTTGGGGGCGGGACAGTGCCCACTCTAGGCCTTAGCAACTGTTGCCAAGCTCCCTGGCGCTGGTGCGGTGCCGAGGAGATACGGCAGGACGCGGAGACCCTGCGGGGGCGGAGTAGGGGGTGAAGGAACGACGGAGAAAGGGGACCCGTAGGATGACGGGGCAGTTGCCCGCTGGGTGGGGTCCCCACCGGTCCGAAGCGGGGGGTGGGGGGTGGGGAGGGGGGCGCACCCTCATTTCCGACGTTAACTCGTTGCTAAGCAACCTGGGCGTGGAGGTGGGGGCGAAGATGGAAGCGAGTCAGTCTCCTTGGCGCCCGGGCTGCAGCCGGACTGCGTCACTATCCCGAGCCCTAAGCGCTCCCAAATTCGCCCACCCCAGGGACTTCCGCCCCAACCCACCCGTGCTCAGTGACCTTCGGGACAAGCATTCCTCCCATCCACTTTTCAGATGAGGGGACCTGTGGGGTGACTTACAGCGAACAGGCGGCAGACCAGCATGCTAGATTCCACCGCCCCCCGGTTCCAGTGACTAGTGCATCCCCTTTTTAAGGGTGAACAGACCCCCACGTGGAGGTAGCAGGCCCCAAGACGCAAAGCAAGTCACCTGTGAGCCCGGAGGCAAGAGAAGACTCCAGACCCCCAATAAAACCAAACGTAGGAGGAGATTCTGGTCTTTATTAGCAAGCCCTGCCTGCAGCTCTCCCGCCCAGGCAAGAGTGAAACCGGGTCTCTCTGTGGGGCGAGAGGTACCAGCAGTTCCACTCAAAAAGTGTGCACCAGCTGGACTGCGGGCAGGGTCTGGACAATCTGGATGGAGGGCAGGCCCTGCGAGGCCATGCCCCCCGGCACAGCTCCTGCAGGGACCACTTGTACCATCTGGGAGGCAGGGGCGGCGGGGACACCGGCAGGGACAGAGGCTGGACTGGCTGCCGGTGGGGCCAGCAGCTGCAGTGTGGCGGCACCGCCCCCAACACTGCTGTTCTCCAGAAGCTCGGTGGCCGGAGCACTACGGATGATGAGCAGTTTCTGTCCTGGCGGCCCCTGGGCGGGCTGCTCGGCCAGCCCTGAGGGCAGGGTCTCTACCTCCTGCACACAGAGCTGGGTCTGCTCCCCATCTGCCCCACTCAGCACCAGGACGCTCTGCAACCCTTCGTCCGTCTGCAGTGTCTCGAAAAGCACATCCTGGACCACACCAGTGGTGGCCTCGGCGTCACCCGGCTCCCCGGGGCCAGAGCCCGCCAGCAATTCCTCGGGTGCCTCACTCTGAACCACCAGCAGGTTGGGGGCCTCAGTGGTCACGGCTCCCCCGCTGGGGTTAGACAGCTGGCCCGCCACAGGCTGGAGCTGGACTGCAGTCACCTCCTGGGCGGGCTGGAGCTGGACCGTGGTCACTTCCTGTGCTGGCTGCAGCTGGACCGTGGTCACTTCCGGTGCCGGCTGAAGCTGGACCGTGGCCACTTCTGGGGCTGGCCGCAAGGGCTGGAGCTGGACCCCACTCACTTCCGGCGGCCCTGACTCCCCACCCCCCACATTCTGCAGAAGGATAAGGCTCTGCCCTGCCCCACTGGCCCCTGCGCTGCCCCCTCCCTGCATCCCCAGTCCCCCAGGGCCTGGCAGCCAGACTACTCCAGGCCCCTGCCCAGCTTTCCCCACTGCCCGCAAGCCTTGTTTTGCCCGGCTGCCCCCACTACCAGTACTGGAGGGCAACAGGATGAGCTTAGGGGGTGCGGGGGGCGGCGGGGGCGCGGGGGACTGCACACTGCTGGGGATGAGCTGGAGGCCCTGGGCTGTCTGCACCAGGAGGAATGTCTGGGAGTTCGGGGCTGCCGGGCCCAGGGGCGGGGCCTGCTGAGCCGGGCCCCCTGCCACCTCTAGGGAGAGGGTCGCCTGGAGGTGGGGGAGCACGTGGACATCTTGGGTGGCTGCTGGAGCTGGGGCAGCAGCCAACGGGGCAGGAGGCGGGGGGCCGCTGGCGGGGGCGGCAGGGGCGTGCGTCCTCAGGTGCCGCTGCAGGTAGGCAGCCATGACGAAGCTGCGCCCGCAGATGGGGCAGGCGAAGGGGCGTTCAGCTGAGTGGGTGCGCTGGTGGAGCAGCAGGTTGGAGGAGTGTGTGAAGGTTTTGGGGCAGAGTGGGCAGCGGAAGGGCCGCTCGCCCGTGTGCACGCGCTGGTGCTGCCGCAGGTTGGAGGTCTGCGCGAAACTCTTGCCGCAGACACCGCAGGCGTGTGGCCGCTCACCCGTGTGCACGTGGCGGTGGCGCCGCAGGCACGAGGTGTTGCGGAAGGCCTTGCCGCACTCTCCGCAGGCATAGGGCCGCTCTCCCGTGTGCAGCCGTAGGTGGTACTGGTAGTGCGACGACCACTTGAAGGTCTGGCCGCACTGGCCGCAGGTGAAGGCCCGCAAGCCCGTGTGCACGCGCTGGTGGATGGCCAGCAGCGAGGAGCGTTTGAAAGCCTTGCCACACTCGCCACATTGGTAGGGCCGCTCGCCTGTGTGGTCCCGCAGGTGGTAGCGCAGCCCCGACGAGCCCTTAAAGGCCTTGCCGCACTCGCCGCACTTGTAGGGCCGCTCAGTAGAGGCGGAAGCAGGTGCTGGCGCAGGTGGCTGTGGGGCGGGTGCAGCAGGGGCCAGCGGCTCCTGCGGGCACGTAACCTCCGCGGCCTCGGCCTGGGGAGGTGGGCGCCCAGCCGCAGCCTCCTCCACGTGACACTGCTGATGCGCCAGGAGGCTGGCTAGCTGTGGGAAGGCACCGTCGCAGCTGCCACAGCGGAATGCCTGCCCACCGGCTGCCCCGTGGCTGTGCTGGTGGCGGGAGAGTCCAGCCACTGTCCGGAAGGACTTTCCACAGGGAAGGCAGGGGAAGCTGGGGGTGGTGGTGGCAGGAAGTGGCTGGGCCTCCGCAGACGGCGGAGCAGCCTTGGGTGTCTCTGGGGGCGCGTCCCGGGGTGCAGCCACCGCCTCGGGCCCCGGGCAGGGCTGGTGCTCCAGCAGCAGCTCCTCACTGCCGAAGCCCAGCTCGCAGCCGTCGCAGCGGTACACCAGCTCCACCGTCGTCTCGGCCGCAGCCAGAAAGAGCTCAGGCACCACGGGCGGGGGAGCTGGCGGCGGGGGCGCCGGTGGACTAGGGGAGGGCAGGTGCGGCTGCAGGTAGGGGTCAGTGAAGACCTTGGCTGGCTCCCTCGGCTGCTGCGGAGGCACCGGGGCCGCAGCGGGGGTGGCGCCATGGGTGCGCTGATGCAGCAGCAGGTTGGAGGAGTGTGTGAAGGTCTTGGGGCAGAGCGGGCAGCGGAAGGGCCGCTCGCCCGTGTGCACGCGCTGGTGCTGCCGCAGGTTGGTGCTCTGTGTGAAGCTCTTGCCGCAGATGCCGCAGGTGTAGGGCCGCTCGCCCGTGTGCACGTGGCGGTGGCGCCGCAGGCTGGAGGAGTTCTTGAAGGCCTTGGGGCAGTCGGGACATGGGTAGGGCCGCTCGCCCGTGTGCTGGCGCAGGTGGTACTGGTAGTGCGACGACCACTTGAAGGCCAGGCCGCACTGGCCGCAGGTGAAGGCCCGCACGCCGGTGTGCACGCTGCGGTGGATCTGCAGCAGTGAGGAGCGCTTGAAGGCCTTGGGGCAGTCGGAACACTGGTAGGGCCGCTCGCCCGTGTGGCCCCGCTGGTGGTAGAGCAGGGCTGAGGAGCCCTTGAAGGCCTTGGGGCAATCCGGGCACTTGTAGGGCCGCTCGCCCGTGTGTGTGCGCTGGTGGTGCAGCAGCCGGGAGGACCAGCGGAAGGACTTGCCACACTCCCCACACTCGTACTGGGCCGCCGGGGCCGCGGAACCAGGCTTCTCCCCTGCACCCTCCTCGGTGGAGGCCGGTGCCATGTCAGCGTGGGAGCCGACCATCACACCTGGGGAGGCGGAATTCCGGGTCAGGGGAGGGTGGTGCCCCCTCCACTCACACACGAAGTCATCTCAACCCCTTTCAGAGTCAGGGACACCTCCGGAGCCCGCCCTCATCGCAGGAGCCTCCTTCCCCTCAGTGTTAAAGCTCCCAGTGGTCCAGGTTTGTCACAGAATGCAAGACTTCAGGTGCTAAACTTCCAGAAAATTAGGACAAGTGGGTCACCAGCCTTAGGAGGGCAGCCATCTCCTCCAGGAGGCTGGACAGGAATGAAAAGGCTGGGTCTAGCCTGTAGGGCTACGCTCTGAGGATGGCCTGTCCTTGAAGAAGGCCATGCCCACTCCCTCTTGGTACCCTGACCAAAACTGCCTAAGCTCTGCTAGGTCTCTGATCCACTGACCTGGCCCTGCAGGCTCTGTGCACCCCACCCCCAGCCAGAGTCCTCACTTCACCTCACCCAGGAGAAGGACTGCAGGTGACTGGAAACAGCTGGGCTTTGGCGTCCCTTTGCACGCATGCCCATGGACTGCAGGGCTCTCCCTGCCCTGGCCTGCACTGCTTGTCTCCATTTCTTGATCCATTCACACCCCAGCTCATACTGGCATGTTTCTTTTCCCCTCAAACCTCGCTCCTTTCCCCTCCTGCTCTTACCAGGTGACCCTGCCATTGACCTCAGCACTGAAAAAGTAACAGCAATCAGGAGAGAACATTACCATGCTCCAACCTCTACACCAATGGTTCTCAACCACTGGGGTTCAGGAAGACACCCCCCCCTCCGTGGCATGCAGCCCCACAGGCCATCAGACAATGCCTGGACACTGTTCTGGTTGTGAGGTTGTTGACTGAAGGGAGGGGCAAGTGCTCCTGGCATCAGGAGGCCAGGGATGCTGCTCAGCACCCTACAATGCATGGACAGCGCCCCACAGCAAAGAGCCATAAGGTCCGAATGCCACCAGTGCTGAGTCTGAGAAACTCACACAATTCCCTTCCGGCCACTCGCCTCTGGGCGCATGGACCCTACATTCCCTCCTACAGCAATGTTCCTCATTTCCTGGACCACTCCCATCTGTGTACCCACAAGCTATGTCTCCCATCTTAAACAAAAAATTTTACCCCACCTCTCCCTCCAGCTACAGCCTCGTTTCTCTCCACCCTTTTGCACCAAAGCATCTCAAAGCTGCTGTCAAAATCTAACCTTCCCATCTCAGACCTGGCTTCACGTCCTCCTGCCCCAACTCCACTCATGCATGGCCTTAGTGTTTTTTTCCACAGCATTTATCATCTTCTAACCTGCTTTATAATCAAGGTTTCTGAATCTCAGCATTGTTGCAATCTGGGGCGGGGCCAGTGTCCAGGGGGCTGTCCTGGATGCTGTACCAGGCACTGTAGGGTGTTTAGCACCGTCCCTGGCCCCTACCCACTAGATTCCAGCAACATCTTATTCACGGTTGTATCCTAGCGTCTAGAATAACTCCTGGCACATAGTGAGTACTTGGTAAACGTAGCTTGACTGAAGTCTGGGCATCCGTTTTGGACAGGTCGTAAACTTCCCTGTACAGTTCTGAATGTCTCCTTTAAAATGCAAACAAGTCCTTTTAAGAGACAATTATCTTAGGAAGCTGCACATGCCTTTCAGAAAGCCAGGCGTACCTTAAACAAGATACCCTGCTCTGCAAGAGCTAGGGCACATCTTATTCCAATAGTGCACCTTCCAAAAGGCCGACCACACCCTTCCACCAGATCCAACTTCCCCTTTAAGAGGGTGCTCTGCTGCACCCCCCATCTCCACCTGCGCTGAGCTAAACGAGGGGATGTTTTGAAGCCATCTGGATTCGAAGTTTTTCCCGTCAATGTCTGTGACACTGTCACCAGCATTTAAAGCTATAATCTATTCTTAGTGGGGTTGAAATAAGCCCCAACGTACTGTCGACCTGCCCCGCCACACTGAAAACAATTCTCTGCCCTTTAAGTGGGCGGAGCCGGCCCAGCCGATAAAAGTCGGAGGTGAAGTAGCGCCCTTCCCTTTAAGGCATCCCTTCCGGTTTCACGCTAGCCGCTTCGCCAACGTCTCCGCCCTCCTGTCCCTCCCCCCACCACCCCACCCCTCCGGTCTCTCACCTGCGGCCCGACCCTGAGAACGAGCAGAGACCCTGAGCCTTCCCGCAGGGGCCGACGGGAAGGCTGGGCCCCTGCGGCGGCAGTGCAGGACTGGGGGCCAGGGAGGGGGGCGGGGGCGCGCTCCCTCCCAACGGCCCCCGGCGCGAGGCACCCAACCTTTACCAGCGGCCACTCGCGCACACAAACCCCGACGTCGCCGTGGGTGCATCACGACGCCACGTGCGCCCAAGCCCCGCCCTCATTGGGCTCCAGCTGCAGCAGCGCTGCCCGGACACGAGGCATTCTGGGAATCGTAGTTCTCCCACGACGCTGCCCGCCGGTGGTCTTGCGGGTCCGCCCAAGGCCCTGAAAAGCCGGGTCTGGATGCGGGATCGCACGTTCCCCCTTATTACTACAGAGTCCTTCTCATTTGATAGACACCCTCCTCTGCGGTGCGGTCCAAGCAGGTCTCACCCACCAGGGGTGCGGTCTCTTGTGGCTTGGTCCCACATCTAGGCACTGGGGCTCCCTTTCCTAGTCTTGAAACCTGCACAGGGATTGCCTCCCTCAGAGGTTAATCTGAGGGAGGCAATGCACGTTCACCCTTCCCTACCTCATGCTGTGTGCACGCGCAGTGGTGCGGGAACCCGGGCCGTGAAAAGCAAGGGGCTGGCTGCCCAGAGCTCCGGGCCTAGACTTCTCCCTGCTGTCCCCACTCAGTCCCCGTGGGCTTCTGCCTTCCAGCCCAGCCTTCTGCGAGGCATGCAACGCAGAGTTTCTCAACCATGTGACTAGTGCCATTTGGGCTCGATCAGACTTTGCTGTAGGGTCAACGTCTGCATTCTACGGTGGTCGGCAGTATCCCTGGCCTCCACTCAGGTCAATAGCAACCCCACTCCGTCTGCCCCACACCTAGTGCCAGCTGTCTCCAGATTGGACCACGTGTCTCCTGATGACAGCTGCTCCAGGGCCTTTCCCCTTAGCCAGAGGGCCACTCCACGTGCTGTTGCTCAGACCTGAGCGCCCTCCTACTCCTAACTCACCCCTTCTCAACTGCTACTGGAAACCCCGATGCTAGGTGGGGCCCCATTACATGCTCAGTGGCTCTCATCTGCATTCCATGACAGCAGGGACAGGTGTATCTTTGCTATTCGAGTGCCCCATCAACCAGCAAGGAGCCTGATCAGAAGCAGGTGGCACCCTTCGTGGAATGCGTGCATGTTTACAGCCTCACTCCGGTGCAGTTCCCCTAGGCCCACAGGCAGGCTGGAACTCAGTCCTGACCTGAGCTGATTTGGACCTGCTCCCACCTGGTCTGTAAGGAGTCCCTGTGAATGCGTGCCTGTAACACCCTTGGCTGCCAGCTCATTCCCAAAATTCCTTTCCCTTCAGCTTCTGCCTCCCAGACCAGAAAGGAGGCTACCAAAGGCACTGGGAGGGTCACCTGAGCTACCGAGGGGTGAGCAGGTCAAGACAGGAGAGTAGCCCTGGTTGGGGCTGTGGATGTGGAATGTGCTGCCCAGTGGGCTATGGGCAGGGGTGGCCCAGAGGTACAGAGCCCAAACCCACCCCATGCCTCAGGCCCCTGGGACCCAACAGTAGTAAAAGGAGCTCCAGCCAGCTCCCATTACCTGCCTATCCCAGGTGTTATGGGGAAGGTAGGAGAGACAGAGTCCCAGCATCTGCCCTTGTTTTTGCCCTTTGTTGGCCAGGTTTCTCAGGCACATCCTGCACTGCACAGAGGATGCGTCCCCAGCTTCTGGGACAGTCCAGCTCCAAGGGGGCCAGCCAGGAGCACACTGTGTGCCCTGCCTATTCGATCACAGAGTGGGTATGTCCCACCCATGCTTCGGGCCCCTAGGTACTGGAACCCCCATCCCGCCTCCCTTCCCCCTGTGGTAGACAGTTGATTCTGGTTTTGGCCACTTTGTCACCTTGGTGAGGGCACAGCCTATGAGAAGAGAGGATTAGGGGCTGGGGCAAGAAGTGTGCCCAGAGGAAGCAACTGGACACAGCAGACAGGAATCTCAGGACCAGAAACTAAAAGTAAAATATCCTTAGGCCCTGGCTGGGTAGCTGTTGGTTAGAGTACTATCCTGATACACTAAGGTAGTGGGTTTGATCCCCAGTCAGGGCACATGTAAGAATCAACCAATGAATAAATAAATGTGTGGAACAAATTGATGTTCCTCTCTCTCTCTCTCTCTCTCTCTCACTTATTCTCTCTCTAGCATCAATAAAAATAAAGCCTACAACAAAAAACAAATAAATAAAAATAAAATCTCTCTTTTCACATAAGAGGATGCACTTGAAGCAAGAATGGGTGGGGCGAGCGGAGTCCTGGGTCGTACTGACAGCTGCTCCACACACAGGGAGCCCAGGGGGATGGCTCGATGCCCTGCAGGTGAAGGGTGCTCCTTTCTAACATCTCAGGGGCTCCTGGCTTGGGCGGCCTGGCCTCTTCACATGGAAGGAGCATGGTCCCCAGGTCACTGAGTCTCTCCACCAGGCATAGAGCCAGGAAGTGGGGTCGGTGGGAGAATATCGGACCCCAGGGCCACCCCCCATCCAAGGCTTATCTGGAGCCCTTGGAGCTGCCCAGGGCATGGAGCCAGAGGCCATCCCCCCCATGGCAGGGCCCGTTATGTGACACAGGGGAAGGTGGAGGTGCAGTCAAGGCTCCTGCTCTGCTGACCTTGAGTTGATCGAGAAGAAACATAACAGTACATTTTACATGTCAACTTGACTGGGACACAGGGTGGAGGATGGCCAGGTTCCTGATTAACACGACTTCTGGGGGTGTCTCTGAGGTGTTCCAGAAGAGGTCAGCACTAGAATTGGTGGACTGAGGGAAGCACCATTGTGAGTGGGCCTCGTCCAACCCCTGGAGGGCCAGGATGGAACGAAGAGGTGGGAAAACAGGCTGACTTCGCTCTCTGCCTGGCTATTTCCTGCCCTTGGTGCTCCTGCGGGGCTCGGGCCTTCAGACCTGGGCTGGAGACTACACTGTGGGCTTGCTGGCTGTCAGGCTTTGGAGCTACACTGCTGGCTGTCCTGGGCCTTGGGACTTCTCTCGGGACTTCTCCATAACCACATGAGCCAATGCTTTACAACAGGTCTGCTTACATACATAAAACAGTGCACATAACACCCCTCTCTCCAGAGATAGATAAATGGAGACACAGATATGTGTCTATATCTATGTAGATATATCTCTGGAGAACCCTGACTGATACATGAACACTTCCTTGGGTGGGCCTGGTCTAATCAGGTGAGCTCTTTAAACTTAGGTCTAGTGGGCAGAGATGAGAAGTATCAGTGATTCTCCTGCTGGCCTTGAAGATGCAGTCTCCGTGGATTCCGAGGTGCAAGAACATGAGTTGTGCCCCGTGACCTTGGAAGGGGGCCCCAACTTCAGGGGAGACCCCAGTCACAGCTGACACCTGGATGCAGCTGTGCAGCCCTGAGCAGAGGGCCCAGCTCAGCCGTGGGGCCTGGACCCCTGAACCAAGGAGCAGAGAGAAAAGGGGCTGTTGTTTGAAATCATTGGACGTGTGGTCGTTTGTCCCACAGAATAACTAGCACACTTCTCATATGAGTCTGCTCAGATGGCCACAGCCGAGCACCACAGCCTGGGGGCTGTAACAAGGGGAGTGTATTTCCTCTCATTTCTGGAGGCCGGAAGTCCATGGCCATGGTGCCACAGGGTCGCTTCCTGCTCTCTCTGAGGCTTCTCTCTCTCAAGGAGGCCTCTCTCCTTGGCGTGTAGACGGCTGGCTTCTTTGTGTCCGTACACAGTCCTCCTGCTGGGTGTCCCTGTGTCTGCATCTCTTCTCACTAGGACACCAGTCACACGGGACCAGGTACCACACTGACATCCTCATTCTACCGTAGTTACCTCTTTAAAGACCTTTTCTTCAAACAGTCTTGCTCTGTCTCAGAAGAAGAGGTGTCAGCAAATAGGACAGGGTTGGGCCCTCTGAGCTTTGAGTTGGGGACAACAGGAAGCTGCTGTCTGCAAATGTCTACCATGCATTTTAAGGGAAACCAAGTCCATCTGTGACTGGGTGACAGAAGTAGCAGACGAGCACGGAAGAGGCAGGGAGGGACAAGCCTCATCTGGGCCTCTGACCGGTCCTCACGCCTCGGTTTCCCCCTCCCGATCTGGGGAGTCCACCATTCCAGGTGCAGTGAGGCCTATAAAGGAGGTGGGGGGCAGGGCCCTAAGGTCCGGGCACTACCTCTGCCCCACAGCTTCCATGGCTCCCCTTCACTCTTGCTCTCATAGCCCAACTCCTACCTGGCCTACAGAGCCCTGAGGGTCTGGCCCCTGTTCACCTCCGACTTCACCTTGTCCCATGGCTCCCTCTCTCACTCCAGTCAAGCCTGCTGCTGCCTCAGGACCTTTGCACCCGCTGTGCCCTCTGCCTGGGGGGCTCTTGGCTGCCACCTCTCCTGCTCCAGTTGCAGGACAGTGATCACCTCCTCCAAGGGGGCTTCTCCGTCTGAAGCAGCACCTCCCCCCACCCAGCTGCCAACCTGCTGTGCAGTCTCAGCACTTTCACAGCACATCCTCAGCTGGGATTTTCTTTCTTTTCTTTTCTTGTTTTGTTTTTTAGACTTTATTTCAGGGAAGGGAGGGAGAAAGAGAGGGAGAGAAACATCAGTGTGTGATTGCCTCTCTCGCACCACCAACTGGGAATCGAACCTGAGACCCTTCGGTTCGCAGGCCAGTGCTCAATCCACTGAGCCACACCAGCCAGGGCCCCAGCTGGGATTTTATTGTGCGTCCGACCCTCCTGAGGGGACAGATGGGACTTGTCTTATTCGCAGCTGCACCCACTGTCTCTGCACCCAGTAGGTGCTCCATAGATGCTTGTTGATTTACTAAATGTCCCTCCTGTCGTGAGGACTGGGAGAGGAGCCTGTGAATGAACACCTTCCACTCCCTGCAGGGGCAGGCCCTCCACAAACACCAGATGAAGGCGGCCCCACCTCTGCATGATTCTTAATCTCAGAGACTGGAGGAGAAAGGCCCAAAGTGGCGCCCGGCACAACGCCCGAGCCTCCCGCGCCAGTCCGGGGTGTTGGCGCCCCCTGGTGGAGCGCCCCAGGTAAGAGCTCGCAGGGCCAGGGTCGCTGTGTGGTACCAGGCCCCGCCTGCCAGGGCACACAGCCCGCCAGCAGAGGCTGCGCGTGGCTCCTGAGGGCGATGCAAGACCGCTCTGGAGCCACGCGGCGGCGACCCCTTTCCTGTCCTCGGGGCCTGACCTCCAACGCTCCAGAGAGCAGGGCGTCCCCTCTCCCCAGCAAAGGCCGGAGTGAGCGAGTTGGGGAGTCCTGGAGGTACCCAGGCAGACCCCAGAGGCCCCTGAGGTCCCTGAGACCCGGGCCTGTGCCCACGGTTGCCTGTCCTCCGAGGTTACATGGCACTGGGCCAGGGAGGGTGACCCTGGGCGGCTGATCGACCCATAGCTGCCGACCTCACTGCACTTCGTGGCCCACACGCGCTCTGGACTTCTGGTGACATCGCTGGCCGCCTGCTGCAGGCGCTGGGCTGCCAACAGTGTGATGGCCCTGAGCCCGGGGGGAGGGGGCGTAGGCTGCGGGCCCACAAGGACGCCCCCCGGCCCCAGCTGACCAGACTCGGTCCCCACCGTGCCACTTCCTTGCTGCACGAGCATGCACAAGCCACCTACCCCCGTGCCAGCTCCTCGTCCCAGCTTCAGCACCGAGGCCGGGAGGCTCACATCAGACGGGGGTCTGCAGGTGGCGGGGCCGGGATGTATACTTTTAAGTTCATAACCGTCCACGTTCTGGCGTGTTCATGGCGTGTTCACATCTGGCAGCTCTTGTTTCGTTCTCTCCTCTCAGCCAGAGGCGGTTTCCCACCACAGTCTTTCATAATGGGCTGCTGCTAATTTTATCAGGGTGTCATTTGGCAAAAAAAAAAAAAAAAAAAAGAATATTTATAGTGAGGATACTTAGGAATGTTACCTTTTAATAGTTAATGACGATGAGGGCTTTCAGAAGTCCTTCCTGTCCCTCCTCTTCTTCCCCACGTGGGTGACATCCCAGCTCTGCTGCTGTGGCCTTGGTAACCATACACCGTGACCTCAGTTTCCCCCGCAGAAAACAGGGACAGCCTGCGCCCTCTCTGTGCACAGGGGAGGGGACCTCAGCGAGTTGCCTGGGCACTGGGGGCCCGGGGGAGCATCCTCACTGCTCTGAGTCTCTCTCTGCAGATGCTGGGGGCGTCCAGGGCAGCCCCGGGCCCGGCCTTGGCAGCTGCGACCACTGGCCCAGGGAACACAGACTTGAGGCCCCCCCTCCTGTCCTGCGGTGGATGAATAACAGCCCCCAAGGACACCCAAGTCCTAACCCACAGCATCTGTGAATCTGTCACGTCTTACATGGAGAGGGGGCTTTGCCGATGCGACTTCATCTGAGTTAAGGATCTTTTTTTGTTGTTGTTAAGATTTTTATTGATTTATTTTTAGAGAGAGAGTGGGAGGGAGGGAGAAAGAGAGGGAGAGAGAAACATCGATGTGTGGCTGCCTCTCGCACACCCCCTACTGGGTACCTGGCATGTGCCCTGACTGGGAATCGAACTGGCAACCCTTTGGTTTGAGGGCCGGCATTCAATCCACTGAGCTACACCAGCCGGGGCTGAGTTAAGGATCTTGCGTGGAAGAAATGACCCTGGCTACCTGGGGGCCCTAAATGTCATCCTCATGAGAGGGAGACAAGAGGTTATGAGTCAGGAGGACCTGGGACGACAGAAGCAGAAGTCGGGGTGACGCACTTGGAAGGCAGAAGAAGGCCCGCGGGCCACGGAATGGGGGTGCCTCCAGAAGCTGGGAGAAGCACGGGAACAGTTTCTGGCCTTGGCACCTCCCAAAGAAACACCTTGACTTTAGCCCCTAAGACCTACCTTGGACACCAGACCTCCAGAATCTCGAGAGAATTAACGAGCATGCTTTTAAGCAGTTCGTGGTCCTGTGTTACAACAGCCACCGGACACACATGCACCTCCCGCCGCATTCCCCCTGGAGCCGCACCGAGACACCCCCTCCCACACTTGGCCACCCTGCCCGGAGACAAGAGGACCCATTCCCTTCAGCCCCAGGAGCCAGCCCCCCGAACTGCCAGCCCCATCCGTTCTCTGCCTCCCCAAACCATAGGGGCCCCAGAGTCCCTCCAAAAATGTCTTGGGGGGAAGCTGCCCCTGCTCTCTCCTCCCCTCCTGGCACAGCCAGGCTGTGCCCCAAACAGCCCCTGATGTGGCCCACCTGAGTAATGGGCCCAGTCCACAGGTGTCCCTCTTTTCTCCCCTGCTCACTGGCTGCACTTGGGTGGGAGATGCAGGAGTTGGGGGTCCAACCCCCGGAAGCCAGTTCCTCCAGCCGGCGAGAGACCTGGAGCACAACAAGCCCCTCCTGGAGCCTCAGTTTCCCCAGGATACTGGGCCTGCAGCAGAGGGAGGCAGGAAGGCACCGCAGGGGAGCCTACTCCACAGCAGAGGCGCCTGTGCCGTCTCCCCCTCCCTCCGAGCCTGCACCCAAACCCCCCTGGGCACCCGCTCCAATTAAGGGTCCTTAACGCTAACTGCAGCAGTTGACTCAGCTCCTGGCCTCCCCGCGCTGCCCAGGCCTTTGTCGCCTTAATTGGCAACCTCCAGGCGCTTTTCCTCGCCTCCCCACCTGCACCACCCTGCCCCATATCCCAGGTCCAACTATGTGCTAATTGGGCCCCTGGGGACGTGCACAGAAAGCCCCTCCCCTGACTTCCTATATCAACCCCCCACCTACCATCCTCAAACCCCCAAGTCCAGCTCCTGGGACACAGGGACCAGGGGGGTTGATATAGGACCCAGGAGAGGAGGGACTCTGGGTCCTAATTTCTGGGGCCCTACCCCCTCTCCTGTCCAGAGTCATCTGCCCATCCCACAGGCCATCCCTCCTTGTTCTGTTCTGCAGCCTTGAGCCCCCAGCCGTGGCTATTCCTCTCTCCTCACAGATTTGGGGGGTGCTTTCTGATCGGCAGGAATATAGTGGAAGGTTACCCCCAGATCACCCAGGCCATGCACCCCGGGGCCCCCACAGCCCCAGCAATCTCCGAGCCCAGCCCCCGGGAGCTGTGTGCCTTTGTCAGCGGGGCAGCTGCCCGCATGCTACGCACCTTGCACCCCCGGCGGACCCGGCCCCCCAAAAGGAGGCCCAACCACAGGAGGTTCCTTCACAACCAGATCTGCAGGTGAGGGGGAGAGGGGTGGAGGGGGTGGGGAGGTGACGGGCCCTAGATCTGGGGGACACTGAGCCCAGACAGAACTGAGAGAAGTGGCCCCCAGGGCTGGATGCAGTCAACATGCAGCATGCATTTATTAAGCGCCGATGGTGTGCCGGCCCCCTGGGAGAACCGACAGGGAACAAAGCAGAGCGCGCTCCCTGTCTTCACGGGCGCGTGTCCAGTGGGGGGGCCAGGCGGCAAACGCTCCATGTGATGTAGCAACGTGGGCGAACCTTGAAAACACGGTGCTGAGGGAAAGCAGCCAGACACCACGGCCACAGATGGTGGGTTCCCGAGTCTGCAATGTCCACAGAGGCAAGCCCACGGGCAGCAAGCAGATCCGGGGTTGGCAGGGGCTGGGGAGGCGGTGGGAGTGATTGCTTGTGGGGAGGGGCTTCCTTTTGGGGTGATGAAAAGCTCACTAATTAGAGGTGGTGGTGGTACAACACTGCGAATGTATTAAATGCCACTGAACAGGGCGCTTTCAAGTGGCTCATTTTAAGTCATGTGAATTTTACTTCGATTTTAAAAAATTATATGGTATGCTAGAAGGTGGTACGTGCTGTGGAGGTGTGCCGGGAAGGGCTGGCGTTTTCTGTAAGGTGTCAGAGGGGCAGCTGCACTGAGTAGGTGCGACGTGGGAGCAGAGGCCTGGGGGGCGGCGGGAAGGCGGGAAGCAGCCTGCGGGAGGCGGAGGGGAGGGCGTCCCAGGCAGGGCCCGCAGGTGCAGAGGCCTTTGCCCAGCTGGTCCCTTTGCGGAGCAGCGCCATCCCACAGTGTCTCTGGGAGTGGGAAGAGGGGCCTCTGCTCCTTCGGGCTTCTGTGCAGGCCTGTCCTGGCTCCCACACTCTGCCCAGTCCCACCTGTGCGCTCCCCTCACCCTATGACAGCAACCATTGCTCCTGCACCTGCTGCACGCCGAGTACTCTGTACTAAGGCCGCGACGGGTGCTGCCTTTATCCTCCAATTACAGATAGGAAAGCTCCGAGAGGTTTGATGCCTTGCCAAAGGCTACACAGCCAGTGAGTGGATGAAACCCCAGGTAGTTGGAGTTCACTCTGTGTACCACTTTGTGATCCTGTCTGCAGACAGCACCTCAGGGACTTGATGGTAATGATGAATGTGACAGTGGTGATGGTGATGATGAGCGTGATGGTGATGAAGATGGTGGTGATGATGGCGATGGTGGTGATGATGGTGGTGTGGTGGTGGTAATGGTGACAGCAATGGTGGTGATGGTGGTGATGGTGGTGGTGATGATGGTGATGTAGTGATGGAGGTGACAGTGATGGTGATGGTGGTGATGTGATAGTGGTGATGGTGATAATGTGATGGTGGTCACGGTGATGATGGTGATGATGATGGTGGTGGTGGTGGTGATGATGGGAGTGGTGGTGACAATGCTGTTGGTGACAATAATGACAATTACAGTAGCTAATATTCATCTGACACTTAACAAGTATCAGGCAGCAGTTTAGTATCAAATTATAATAGTCACTCAGACAGTGAGTATGAACTCATTAATTCCCCACAGCAACCCCAGGACACAGGTAGTAGTCGTCATGCTTGAGTGAGAGAAGTGAGGCACAGAGAGGTAAAGTGAGTTTCTCGAGGACCTGATTTTCAATAAGCAGGTAGTCCTCCCAGCCAGCCCGGGACCTTGTCCCAGGAGGTGTAAGAACCAAATGTGAACAAGTGGGAGCCTGGTCCAGCCTAGCCCCTGCCCCCACACTGCCACCTACTTCCTCCGGGATGCCCAGCCCTGGCCACACCCAAAATGCTCACACCCACCATGGAAGAGGAAAACACATGTGTCCCCAAAGAGGGCCTCCTAACTCCTCGACAACGGCTCCAGGGCCCCTCCAGCTCTTCAGCACCCATCAGGGTTCCCTACACCCAGCCAGGCTGGACCCTGTGCTAATAATGCCAGTCCCCTACCTCCCAGGTTCCCGGTCCTCCCCCACTCCCACTCCCTGTTCCCAGGGCCAACGTCTCTGCCGCACCATCCCAGACATCACCACTACCTGTGCCTGGCTCCGCCACATGCTTCCCAGAGACCCAGCCCACCCACCGGTGGCCTTGGGGGCAGCTCCGAGCACATCTCCCTGGGCAGCCAGCCGAGCCTGCTCATAAATCCAGGTCAAAGGCAAGCTCTCCTCAGCATCTCCCCACAGCCTCCTCCTCCTTCCAGGCTCCACAGGAGACCCCTCCCACCCACGCGTATGGATTTTTGACATTTTCTTGTGAAACACTTCAAACCTACAGACAAGTCAAGGCAGCTGTCTGATGTAGGGGTCCTCAGAGGTAGTCCCCAGCCCAGCAGCATGACCACTTGGCATCTCCTGGGAACGTGTCAGAAATGCAGATTCTCAGAGCTGCAGAGGCAGAAATTCAGGGCTCCGCGAGTCTGTTTTCACAAGCCCTCCCAGTGTTCTGTGGAGAACCCTGCCCTAACCACCACTCACATACCATCACTTAGCTTCTAATGTCCGGACTGTCTTAGCACCCTTCCTTCATCCAGGCTTTAAAAATAGTTTAGAGTGAATTGCAAATGTCATGACTCATCGGCCTGAACGTCATTCATGCGTAGTTTGTCGGAGGCCTTGAGAGCTTGTTGGGAGGATCTAGCGGGGAGCGCAGCTACTTGTGTGCCCTTGACTGAAGACTGGTCCTTTCCTCTAGTTGGGAAGGTTGTCCTCTTCCACTGCGCACGCAGCTTCGGGAGGGACAGACATGGATTGGTGAGGGAGGGAGGGGACGCCCACCTAGCCGGCCAGATCAGCCGAGTCAACCCTGGCGATCAGTCGGGTGGCAGGTGTCGCAGCCTGATTGCCCTCACATCCGTCGGAGGCCATGTACTGCACATAAAGCTATAGATCTTCTCTCTCTCTCTCCCTCTCCGTCCCTTGCCCTCGATCTCCAGCTCCAGCCCCAGCTCCATCTCTCTGCCTCTCTCATTCTCTATCCCCCTCTCTCTCACTTAACCTGACCTCCCATTTCTCACCATTTTCCTTGGGGCACTCAGAGCATGTTTCCTCCGTGGCATCAAAGACGGTGTCAGAGTTGCAGTTCTCACTAATTTACTTAAGAGCCGAGTATACATTTTTTTCTCATGATAAAATACACAGAACATAACCGTTCTCTACTTTAACCATTTTGGTGGCACTTTGTACATTTACAATGTTTTGCAACCATCACCTCCATCCAGTTCCAGAACATTCTTATCACCCCTAGGGGAGACCCTGCACCCATCATCGGTCCTTTTCCATTCCCTTCCCCGAGAGCCTGGCAAGCACTAATCTGCTGTCTGTAGGAATTTGCCTATTCTGGACATCTGTGAGCAGAATTACACAGCATCAGACACGGTTTCACGGATGGGACCAGCCCGCACACCCAGGCCAGGGCGTGCCCTGCCCCCAGGGCCGCTGCAGCTCCTTCCCATCAGCTGCCCTCCAACTGCTCTCACTCTCTAGCGGCTTAATCAGTTTCTGAACTTGCATTCAGTTGGGTCACGTGGCTATTGACTGTGAGTCTCGCCACCTTGGCTCACATGATGCTTGGACATTATTTTGCCAGAACTGCGGTAATCAAACCGCGCAAACTGGTCAGTCCAAACAACAGAAACTCACTCTTGCACCATTCTGGAGGCCGGGACCCCAAGCTGCGGGCAGGTGCAGACAGCCGTCTTGTCCTGGTGTCCTCACACGGCTCTCCCTGTGTGTCCCAACACCAGTCCTATCGGGCTAGGGGTCACCCTAGTAACATCATTTTAACTTAAATCGCCTCTTTGAAAACCCCATCTCCAAATACGATCACTTTCAGAAGTACTGGGGGCTAGGGCATCAGCAGGTGAATTTCAGGGGGTCGCAATTCAGCCCCTTACAACCTGTGAGACCCACTGGTATTGTCACCAAGGGGAGGCCAGGGTGGTCATCCAGGTAAAGAGGAGTTGGAGATGGAGGGGCTCAGAGGTGAGGAGACTCAAGAGCTAAGAGGAAGCAGAATCCACAGGCGTCCCCGTTACAGATGTGCTGCTAGCCCACAGCAGGTTTTGGTACACATTTGTACAAAATTCCTTTTTGTAAAAGACTTTATTTATTTTCAGAGAGAGGGGAAGGGAGGGAGAAGGAGAGAGACATCGATCAGTTGCTTCTCGTGCCTCCAATCAGGGACCTGGCCTGCAACTCAAGAGCGAGCCCTGACCGAGAATCAAACCTGCCACCTTTTGGTTTGCAGGATGATGCCGAACCCACGGAGCCACACCAGTCAGGGCTTTCTAAATGCACCCTTTTCTGAAGACATTTTTTACTTTATGTGTTGGAACGTGATCATAACAAATCTAAATGTCACAAATGTGTACGATGCACAAATAGAATTGCCAGACTCAAGAAAAGGGACCCGAGGCAGGGAGCAGAGTGCCAAAAAGAAAAATGAAGAGAGTGAGAAGGGACAAAGCACTTCTGGGGTGACAGGTGGGAGGAGACTCCTTTGCGGCCATCCAGCTAATGACCATCTCTCCATAGGCAGTTTGCCAAGATCGAGGCCGCCACCCAGCGCCTGGCCCTGTCCATCCTGTCCCAGGAGGCTCCTCCCCAGAGACCTTCGCCCCAAAGAGCACCCCGGCCACCACCATCCCCCTTCCTGGGGGTGGCCCGTGCTGTGGCCCCCACCGAGGCACCTCGTGCAGGCCCCAGCCTGAGCCTCGCTTCGCTGGATGCCTCTACCTTGGACCTCTTCGATGACATTGCACTCAGCCCAGAACATCCCTCAGGGATGTATGACCTGCCCCATCAGGCACTGGGCCAGCCAGGCCTCAGGCAGGCCCAACATTCCTATGGTCCTCTGCCCCTCACCCTGCATGCCCTGGGGGGAGGGGAAGAACTCTTGGCTCCTGAAGAGGCCTGGGGGTGCAGGTGGGAGATGCCTTATGCCCACCATTTTCAGGGGATCCCAGAGAGCTGGAGGACCTGCTTCCCATGACACCCAATCACCACCCAGGTCAGGCCAGGAGAAACCAGAGGTGCCCCTGTGACAGCTCCCTAGCCCCCAGCCTCTGCCAGGAACCCCCTCCACTCCTGTCCTGGCAACTTCTGGGAAAATGACCCAAACCCAGACTCCCACCTGAGACCAGGCGTCACTTCTGCCTCTTCCAGGCAGGGCCCTCACTCTCTCCCTCCTCTACATCCCCCCTTCTTTCTTCACAGCCTCATCTCCTCGGGAGTCCTTGCTCTAGCTGCACTCACGTGGCTCATTGCTGCCTGATGTCTGGTCTCATTTCATTTATTCTCAAAAATGCACTGAGCATCTACTATGTGCTGAGGATTCAGCAGTGAATAAAATAGACAAGGTCTCTGCCTTTGTGGAGTTCACATTTGGGGGGAGGCAGGTCAGGGGACTGACCTGACAATAAGAAAGTAAATCCATACATTTTTTAAGCACAAGATAAATTTCCATCTTCAGATTGGAATTGGTGCTGTGAAGAAGATAAAACGGTAAATAGCCTCACCAAGAGGCTATTTAACACTGGTGTTCAGATATGAAGCCATGTGAAAGTCTGGGGCTCCAGGCAGAGGAAACCCACATGCAAAGCTCGCTGGGGAGCCGCAGCCGAGGCCAGCGTGGCTGGAGTGGAGCCAGGGGACAGATGAAGTCTGCGAGGTTGACAAAGGCAAACCGTGAATTGGGGAGTAGCTTGGATTTTATTCCAAGAATGATAGGGAGTTCTTTCTATCTCTGTCAACCCCATTTCTAAGCACAAAGTCTACATACTATGAACACCACCCTAGAAGGCAGGTGCTGTGCAGCTGAGGAAACTGAGGCTGCAGAGATTGGGGTGGGGTGGGGGACCTAAGCTCCAGTCTTCATCGAGCCTTTAACCTTAACTGGAAAGTGCTTCTTGGGTCACCGTTAAGTTTCGGAGCGGCCAAAATGGCCAGGGTTGGAACGCCAGGCCCTCCCCTGCCCTGGGCACGGCCCCTCCCTGTCTCGCCTTAGGTGCGGTCCAACCACGCTCCACATTCTCCACTGGCACTGCAACTGCTCCGCCCAGCCCGCCACTCACGCCCTCTACCGCCACCCATTGGTCTGAAGAGCCTCCTTCCCATCAGGGTGGAGCAGCGACGCTTGCGGATTGGCTGGGGGCGGGGGCGGGGCAGGGCAGAGCTGGGCCAGTGGAGCGCCGATTGGGCGGCTCCACCAAAGTCAGCGCCCGCAAGACCGCGTGGGGTTGGGCCGCAAGTCGCAACACTGCCTAACAGTGACCCAGGGGCCGGGAACCGGGTGGGAGGACCTGAGCGGCGCAAGCCTGGGCTCTGAAAGGTGAGTGGCACCAGGACTCACCTGTGGAGGAGGCGGGCCGGGCTCGAACCCAGCGCCTTCCGGGTAAGGCTGGCTCCGACCCTGGAGGAGACCAGCCCTCCCGCCTCACCGTTGGGGGAGCTGACGTTGCCGGGACGCCCTGCGCCGAGGTCACACAGCCAGGGGCGGGACTCGTGCAGGGCCCACGCAACTAGCTGGCCAGGGACTGGGACCCTTCACGTGTCATCCTCATCCTCCCCACGTCACGGGCCAGGTTTCCCCACGTCCCTGCAGGGTAGGTGGGTTTGACCCCCGTGACTCCGAGGGAGAAATTGAGGCCCAGACAGAGTGTGAAACGTGGCCACGGTTACATATCTAGAAGTCCGGCCTGCAGGGCTGGGTCCCCCGAGGCCGCAGGGGGATCTAAGGATCTCCACCCACCTTTCTAGGTTGCGCCTCCCCCCCCTCCCTTGTGCCGCCTCTCCTCCACGGGCTTTGGGCTCCCTCCACCCGGAGGTCCATTCTGGACGCTTCCCATCACTCCCCCACGGCACCCCCAAGTCTGTCTCCAGCTCAGACCTCCTCCCCGACATTCACACTTCCCTTTACCCAATTTTTCTTCTCCCAAAACCCAGTTTCCCTGACCAGGTCCCTAGTTAAACCCCAATACCCGCCACCTGCGCACCAGAAACCTCGGGTGGAGGCGAGGTAGGCGGGTGTGTGGGGGGTCGTCCTCCTTTCCCTTCCCCGGAAGCCAGTTCCACCCGCCCCCTGAATCTCTTGGTCCTGCCCCTCCTCCCTGTGCTGCTGCCTGAACTGGAGCCCTTGCCCTTTGGACCCCATCCCCAGCTTCCCCCCTCCCGCCCCCAGCCTCAGCCTCCAGTCCAGCCTGGTAGCAGCCTCCCCATTTTATTTTACATTTTGAAGAGTTTTAATGGACGTATACAAAACATGCAGGAAAATGTACACATCACAGATAACACAGCTCAAAATAGCTCTTCACAAAGTGAGTGCTCTGCTGTAACCATTATCCAAATCCAGAAGTCAAACATCCCCCACACCCCAGAAGCCCTGTACCCCTTTGTCAGTGACCCCCCAAAGATAACTAGTATTATAATTCTAAAAAAAATATTTGTTTTTAGAGAGAAGGGAAGGGAAGGAGAAAAAGAGAGAAACATCAATGTGTGGTTGCCTCTTGCACGCCCCCTACTGGGTCCTGACCTACAACCCAGGCATATGCCCTGACTGGGAATCGAACCGGTCACCATTTCCACAGGCGGGCACTCAGTCCCCTGAGCCACACCCGCCAGGGCCCATTGTCATAATTTATATGCCACAGGCAGGTTTTGCTGGGTTCCATCTTTATGCAGATCTCATTGCATTTATTCCTGACTACCCAACCTGTTACTGAACAACATTCGACAGGAACAGAAAGCACACAGTGAAAATCAGACCACACACACTGTCCTTCAGTGACCTGTTCCCCTCCTGAAGTCCCTGCTGCTTTGGTGCTGGCCGGAGAGAGCAAATATAGATAGCTGCAATGCACAAACTTTGTTTCCTTCTTTTGGGGGTGCAAATGGGAGCGCTGCTATACACAGTGTTCTGTGCTTTTCCCCCCAACTGTTAACATCTTTTGAACACCTTTCCATACTGTTATTTAAAGAGTCTCCTTGTAACTTTTCCTGGCTGCAAAGAATTCCGTGGCATGGATATACCATGACTTACATAACCAGCCCCCTAACCTTGGGTGCTGTGCTTCACTCCGGGTGTAGGGAGCTGCATGGACAAAGGCTCCGAGGTGACACATGGCCAGGCAGCGGCTGCAGTGGTCCCCGGTGTTGGGCAGGTGGGGAGACAGGGCAGTGACAGGGTCAGTTTTGTCTTCCCAGGAAGATTGTTCCCTCTGCCTGTCCACTTCCTCCGGGAGACCTTTCCTGACCCTGCCTAGACAGATCAGGTTCCCTAGAAATCGCCACGTGAAAGTGTGCACTTTGGCGACATTCAAGCACCCTCATGATGTGCCGCCACCACGCTGTCTAGTTCCAGAACACTTTCATCTCCTCAAAGGTTAGGCAGTCCCCACTGCATCCCACGGTGCCGCCCCAGCCCCCCACCCACCAGTGTGTCTGCCGTCTCCATAGACTTGACCACCCTGGCGGGCGGCACACATGGACTCCTACATCGTGTGGCTTTTAGTGACGGCCTCTCCCAGAGCTCGTGTTAAAGCCCGTCCACGATGTGGCCTGTGTCAGCGCCTCCTTCCTTCCTGAACACGGCTCCACCAGCCTTTCTCTCCAAGACCTGGAAGGGAGTTCAGCTGGCTGTTCACACCTGGGTAAACTAGGGTTTCAGAGATCAAGAGTGGAACTGACTTGTACACAGATGCTCCGTCCGGCCGGGCTGTGAGGAGGGAGGAGGTGCAGCCCAGGAAAGCTCAGCTGTTTTCCCTCAGAAATCACATCCCACTCCCCGTGTTACTGGCAGGGGGCCCTCGGGCAGGTCACATCACTGCTCAAGCCTCAGTTTCCTTCTGGGGACAGGGTGAGGGTCACAGTTGGAGCCTGTGATGGGACAGAGATGGCAGATACCCACATACCCTTCCAGAAAAGGAGAAGGCTTCCCTGGGCTCTAGAGGAGTGAGGCTGGGGTCCTGGGGATGGACAAGGCCAGAGGAGACCCCCCCGGAAATGTGACCTCCCGGCCGAATAGGACACATTAAGAAAGAAGTGTGTTCCAGACCTGGGGAACAGCAGGTGTGAAGTCTGCAAGTGAGGAGAAAGGGGTATCCGAGGGCCCTCTAGGGTCTGAGTGCATGGACCGTGGAGCTGCAGAGAAACCACACATGCCTCCGCCTGCCCCTGCCCCTTGGCCCTTCTGCTCACTCTCAGGACATGGCAGCCGTAAAGCCCAGCCTGGGCCGAGTCCTCCCCAGATCGTCCATGCTTTTCCTGTGCGACATGCAGGAGAAGTTCCGCCACGTCGCTTACTTCCCCCAGATCGTCTCTGTGGCCGCCCGCATGCTCAAGGTACAGGACCCTCCTCCCTCGGGCCAGGGGTTCAGCAACCCCCACTCAGACCAGGGGCCTAGCCCTCTCCCCCCTCAGACTGGGGGTGCAGCCTCCATTGGACTCAGGCCTTTGTGCCCCCCACCTCCACACAGGTGGCCCGGCTGCTGGAGGTGCCAGCCGTCCTGACAGAGCAGTACCCGCAAGGCCTGGGTCCCACAGTGCCTGAGCTGGGGGCCGAGGGCCTGCGGCCACTGCCCAAGACCTGCTTCAGCATGGTGCCCGTGGTGCGGCAGGAGCTGGACGCACGGCCTCAGCTGCGCTCTGTGCTCCTTTGTGGCATCGAGGCACAGGCCTGCATCATGGTGAGGCCCCCAACTGACACCTGGGAACCACCCCCTCACCTGGGATCTCCCCATCCTAAAAAGGACATCCTTTCCCGACTCAGAACTCTATCCTCCCAGCACAACACCCTTCCTGACCCATGACCTCCTCCAGACATGACACTTGATCCTCATTCAGGACCCCTCTCTGCCTGGGATGCTTATCCTGCCCTAGGATCCTGTCATCCCCTGGGGGTCCCTGCCCTGCCCTGAGCCTCCCACATCCCCATCACAGCATCCTAGTCCCTCACCTGGGACCCCTGTTCTTGTCGGGAGTTGGCCCTGACCTCTTTCTGCCCCCAGAACACGGCCCTGGACCTCCTGGACCTGGGGCTGCAGGTCCATGTGGTGGTAGACGCCTGCTCCTCCCGCAGGTGAGATGGTCCCACAAGGGATGTGGTCAGGGCACCCAGGAAGGCTCAGAGGCCTGGGTGCTGGGGCCACAGCACTGACACCCTTCTTCCCCTGCAGCCAGGTGGACCGCCTGGTGGCCCTGGCCCGGATGCGACAGAGCGGCGTCTTCCTCTCCACCAGCGAAGGGCTCATTCTGCAGCTTGTGGGCGATGCTGCACACCCCCAGTTCAAGGAGGTACTGGCCCTCACCCCCCACCTCCCACGCACCTGCAAATGTCTCCTCAGCACCCACCACGACTTTGCAGTATACATCCGGGAACACAGAAGGCTGCTTCCTCTAGAGGGGGCTAAGTTCTCATGGAGAGACACCCTGTCAACCATAAATCAATGATAGAAGCTGATGGCAGACAGTGGGAATGGAGAGAGGGATAAAGCAGGGAGGTGTTTGCATGGGGTGGCCTGGGAGGCCTCCTGGAAGAAGGTGACTCTGGAGTGAAGTGAGGCCTGGAGGGAGCCAGGCAGATATGGGAAAGAACAGACCAGCAGAAGCCCTGTGGATGGGGCCTCTGGACCCCTCCTCCAGTCTCACACTCAGGCCTAGCCTCCAAGCCCACCACCCAGTGGCTTTCCTGGTACCCAGGTCTGACCAGGTAGTTCCCACTGCTGCACAGCCTTGGCCTGAAGGATCACAGGACATGCCCGAATTTGATATTCCTGGCCCTCTGAGCTCTGCCTTCTTCTCTCCTGAGTTCTGTTGAGCCTTTATTGAGCACCTACTATGTGCCAACCACTGTTGTGAGTCCTGGAGCAACAGCAAAGCCTGTCAGTATTCCATTACACATTGTGGCCTGGAGCTGAGAAGGGAATGAGCAGAGTGTGTGAGAAATGAGATAATAAGCAACAGGGAAGGCCCTCTGGGGGCTGGCTTTGAAGTGCACACCTGCAGGGGAGGAACAGCCAGTCATCCAAAAAAGTGTTCCTGGCAGAGAGACCAGCTGGGGCAGGGGCCTGGTGGTGGGACTGAACTTGCTTCATTCCAGAAACTAACAAGAAACCCTGAGTGCTGGGTGCATGTGGAGGAGTGGGGGCAGGGAGTGCTTCCTAGCAGGCCGTGTCTCCCCAAAGATCTGGGATTTTAGCAAGGGGCAGCCATGGGGACTTGTGCAGGGTGCTGGCCACATCAGGTCTGCAGTTGGGAAGGTGTCAGGAACAAGGGACACCAGAGTGCATGCAGTGGGCGTGCAGGCTCTTCTCCTTTGTGTTTACTTTCTGGAGGCAATCACGGGGCTCACTGACGGGCACAGTGTGGGACTGCAGGAGAAGGCACCCAGAGTGGGGCTTCGGGTTGTCATCTACTAACAGGCTGAACTATGAGTCGGGGGGGGGGGGGGGTCAAATGGAGACGAACATCAAAGAGGCAGTTGGATAAATGTCTGGAGTTGAGGGGCAAGGCATGGGTTTGGGAATTGGGGGATGGGAGAGTTGAGATGACTTAAAAAGAAGATGTAAATGAGAAGCCCCAGGATAGAGCCCATCACTCTTAGTAGCCCAAGCCAGCAAAGCAGACCAAGATGGCAGGGGATCAGGAGCTAACTCAGGTGGGTATGGTGAAAGGGAAGCCCCAGGAAAAGTTCTTAGAAGATGGAGTTGGTTTGGGCATTTGCTGTCAAGAAGGAAAGGGAGATGAATAGGGAGAAATGTCCCTCAAATATGCCTTGGAGATGGGGACCCCGGACACTGCCTGACCCCCCTCCTCCCTGTACAGATCCAGAAGATCATCAAGGACCCCGTCCCAGACAGCGGGCTGCTCGGCTTCTTCCAAGGCCAGAATCCCCTCTTCCGCTGAACTCCTACTCTGCCTTGAGGGGGAGATCTCCGTTCCTCCTGTCACTGAGGCCTCTGTGGAAGTGCCTTCCCCCATCCTTGGATCCCAAGAGTGGTGCAATCCACCGGGAGTACCGCCCCCCTCGGGAGGGGAGGCAAGTACTGCCTTACTATTGGGCGAGAGCTCCCGGAAATGCAAATGTAACTCTGGAAGCTGGGTGACCATTGGCGAGACTGGGGTGGAGGCGGGGCTCGGCCCCTGGCCACTTCACGCGGGTGGGAAAAGGAGGGGGAGGGAGTGTCACAGACTGTGTGGGACCCGGACACGCAGAATAAACACTGATGTAGCTGTGGACCGAACCATTCTTGGAATTGGGGGTACCCCAGGGGCGACTCGGGGCTGTGGGTGGGGGGTGCAGGAGCAGGGTCCCCAGCAGGTGGGGAGAAGGAGGTGCCTCCAAGCCGGCGCAAGGCGAGAGCGAGGGCTGGCCCTATCACATCTGCGCTGAAAAGAACTGACGGCAGGGTCGCCCAGCACGCTGCCGGCCGCCCCCAACCAGCGCGCGCACGCCCAGCCCAGCCGGCTGCAGACACGCGCTCGCTCTGCCTCCCCCGGCCGGCCCACCACTCCGCCGCCACCCCAGAATCCCCAAGGGTCCCGCATCCGGAAAGTGAGGTGAGCGAGACCGCACCGGGATGGAGGGGGAAACTGAGGCAAGGGGGACATGGGGATGGGAGGACGGAAGAGACAGGCAAGTGGATGAATGGATGAACTGCTGGGAAGAAGGGCAGACAGCTTCATCTGAGTGGTCCCTGCACCTCTAAGACGCAGGAGTCAGGGGATCCACATAGGGGCTCCCAGAATTTTGCAGCTCCCTTGGAAACCTGGAAGTCGGGACTCTACGAACAGCCCCCGCGTCAAGGCCCCCAGCCCCTTGGAATTCAAAGTCCTTGTTCCTCACCCCACCGCCAACCTTGGGGACCTAGGAAGGCAACCTCTGAGTCCCCCAAGAACCCAGGTACCAGAGCTCATAGCCAGCTTCCGCCACTGGGGAATCAAGCCCCTTAATCCTGGACTCCAGAACCGTCCCAGAAGACTGGGACCCAGGCGTCAAAGCACCCCATACCCACTCTCCCCAGGGACCTAGGAGTCCTTGCCTCCCTCCTCCAGGAGCCCCTGGGACCAGGCGTCAGCGCCCCCGGCCCCCGCCTTCCGGATCCAGGTGTCCCCCATCCTCACCCCCCAGCCTGAAGCGTCGCTTCTCGGAGGCCGCGGCTCGCGTCGCCATGGCAACAGGAGTCTATTTTGCACTGGGAACACAGCTCGCGCTGCAGCGCCCCTCCCCTTCTCGCCCCTCCAAACCAAGCGAGAGAATAGGGGGACAAGGAAGGAGACTGGGGGTCCGGAGAGGGGGTCAGACACAAAGACACCCAGAGACACAGAGATCTGTAGACAGTAAACCTGGGAAAGAAAGGCAGAGACGGGGGGTCAGAGAGGTGCAGAGATGGGGATGTGTAGATGGGGAGACACGGACAGGACCGGAAGAGAGAGACAGAGGGTAGCAGAGGGAAGAGGGGAAATGTTGGTACACAGAAAACAGAGATTCAGAGAAGGGGACAGTGAGGCTAGAGACAGAGACGTGGGGCAGAGACTCGGAGACGCAGAGACGCAAGGAGTCAGGCAAGGGGACGTGTACAGACACCGGCAAAGAGAGACCAAGGCCCAGGACACATCCCGTTAGAGAGAGAGACCTGCCACGGGAGGAGGGATGGACAGGGAGACACAAGCAGAAGGCCTAGGGACCCAGGGGCAGGGGGCCGAGGGGCACAGGTGAGGGAGTGGTCTGCAGGCTCAGGGTCTGAGCCCACCGCAGCCAGAGTTCGAGTCTCTCTCGGCAGCTAGGGAAGGTGGGGGTGGAGGTGGGAGGGACAAGCTGGATCTCCACACCCCCCACCCTGCTCACCGCCTGGACCCCTTCGTTTGTTCCTCCACTTTCCCCCACCTGCTGGTCCTCCTCTTGAACCCAGATCCGCACCTCCTCTTCTCTGCCTTCCACTTCCTGCCCCGAACCACCCCTCACTGCTCCCCATATTCAGGGGCACCGTTCCCCTTGCATTCGGACCGGTGGGCTCTGCCCCCACCCACCTGCTGAGGGATCCTTAGTCCCCCTCCGCAGCCACCTGCAGACCACCCTCCAGCCCCCAGCTTGGGGGGACCAGGGCTTCTGGTTTCTGGATCTCTGCCCCTCTGTGGGTCTCCGTTCCCCTCCCCGGGCTTCTGACCGCCTCCCAAGGCTCTCTCTCCCTGGCCTCCTCGGGTCCTGCTCCATCTCTCCTCATCTCCACTGCCTCCAGGCTCCTCAGGAGTCAACCCACCAGGCCCCACCCAGCCCTGGCTCCCACCTCCAGCTGGCAGGGTCAGGAGGTGGAGGCAAGGTGCTGAGCAAGGTGGCAGATGGGGGACGGGGTTCTCCAGGAGCACCAGGACCCAGTGGGGCCTGCTGGGAACCCCCTTCCTCCCGCTGGCTCCCCTGATCTCTGTCCATTCATCTGTCTCTCTTAGGTTCTCTTAGGGCTGAGGGGGTTGGGGGCACGGCCAGGCCTCCGACCCTGAGCTGCTGGGCACACAAGGTGGAAGGAGCGAGGAGACTGGGGCCTGAGGGCCCCCTTCCTCTCCACCTGTGGAGGGGGAAGGGTCTGCGTCTGTGAGCGGGGGCAGGTCTGTGTACGAGGGTGTCACATGCTGGGTGAAGCTGTGTTGGCACGTGTGTGCGCCCGCACGTGTGCGCGACTGGAGCCTGTGCTGTGTGTGGATGCATGTCCATGTGTAGCTGGCCCGGGCAGGTCCTGGCCCAGGCTCCTGAGCAGTGTGTGGTCCCAGTGTGTCACCACGTCTGCATCTTGCCTGGCGTGGGCTGTGTCCAGGCGGAGCTGTGTGTTTTCGGGGGAGGCTCCCCGGGGACCATCGGGATGACACTGGGTGTCCTTGAATGTTGTGTCTGGGACACTGCCTGGGTGTTCTGTTTTCTGTGTCGTGCCTGTAAGTTCTGTTGCGTGTCTGTGCATAGTTTTGTGTGAGCTAAGGGGTGAACTTGTTCCCTTATATCCTTGTGTCCAGACAGGCCACTGTGTCCCTGGGTGTGCGTCCCCTCCCCACCAGTAGGTGCTGCCCTGCATGGCATCGGTACATGTGAGGCAGGAGCAGGAAGCTGTGGACCCCTTCATCACTACGAGGGGCCATGTGTGTGTGTCTGTGTGTGTCACCAGGTTAGAGGGATGTGTGTCACTGCTCCTCACCCCCCAGAGTTGCCGGTGGCCTGGAGTTGTGACTCCCTGGGTGTGCGCAGTCTGAGGAGACAATGGGACCCTGTCAGCAGGGGGAGGGGGGCCTGGTACAGAGTGGGGACTGAGCAGCAGCCTTTGTGCAGACGAGGCAAAGGTGCCCCCAGCCCGTGCGGCTCCCTGCCTCTATGGTTTGGCAGGTAGACGGCACCCTTGCGGGAGTCACAAAAGGGAGCCCCTGAGCACAGACAGATGCAGCCCAGCTGGCGCGCTGTAGAGAGGGTAGACCCCTTGTGCAGCACACGGCCTGCCCACCGTGCATGGCAGCCCCCAGCCGACGAGGGACCCGCATGGCTGTGTGCACTTGGTGCTGCTGTCAACCATCTGCCTGGGGTTAAGTCACCTCTGCTCTGCTCGAAGCCCCACTCCACCACTTCAGGTCTGTGGGGCTCAGGGAGGTGAGGAAGTAGGGGGCACTGCTGGAACTTTGGGGTCCTCATTGGAAGTGTGTGTGTGTGTAAGAGAGACAGACACACAGACAGACTGAGGCTTGAAGTCCCTTGATTATTGGATCTGCATAAGGGAAAGAAACAGCGTTTAGGGGGACAGAAGACCACAGGGATCTGAGCCGGTGGCTCTCAATGGGGGCAGTGGTGCCTCGGGGACAACTGGCAGTGCCTGGAGACACCTGATGCTGTCGCCACGTGGGGAATGTGAATGCTCCTGGTGTGTGGTGGATGCTGCTTAACATCTGTCCCCAAGAGTCAGCTCTCTTCCTTCCCACCTGCGTGGTCTACAAACTCAAATTCCCAATTTCAATCTCTCTCTCCCTCTCATCCCCCGACCCACATCTCTCTCTCCCGTCATTCTCTCCCCCGTCCCCACGGACCCACCCCCAACTCCTGTCTGTCTGCACGGCCCTGCCCACTCCCCTCCCAACCTCCTCTCACCCCATCTCACCTCTATCTCTGCATCACACACCCCACCGTTCCTTCTCCCTTCATCACATCTGTCTGCTGTCTCCTTCCCAACCTTTTCTCCCCATCCATCACTCCCGTTGCTCCTTTCCATCCACCGTTATCATGTATCATTCTGGTCTCTTCCAACCTGGTCTGGCGTGTTTCCGTTGCTCCCCCACTCCACTCCCATGGACAACGCTGGGCCACGCCTCCCCCTTCCACTCATCCTGACCACCTCCCTCCATCTAACTTCCCTCTGGCTTCTTCCTCATCTTTTCAGACCACCCATCTGCACATTTCCCCACCTCTGCACATCTCTCTCCCGGCCTCTGCTCCAGCCTCGGTTCTCCGCTCAGCCTGGAGGCCCCATCGCACCTTCTAAACGCACCATGCCGGCCCTCCAGCTCCTCGGGACTCTCCTGCTCCTGGCCTCGACCGCTGGCCAGGCCGGGGCGCGCCCGTCCAACGCCACGAGCGCTGAGCCCCCGGGCCCGCTGCCTGCCCTGCTGGCGCACCTGCGGCGCCTGACCGGGGCCCTGACGGGCGGCGGAGGCGCCGCGGGCGCGGGCGCCAACAGCACGAGGACCAGCCCCGCGAGCGGGACAGGCGCGGCCGCACGGGCGCCCCCTCCGGCGGAGCTCTGCCACGGCTACTACGACGTCATGGGCCAGTACGATGCCACCTTCAATTGCAGCACTGGCTCCTACCGCTTCTGCTGCGGCACCTGCCACTACCGCTTCTGCTGCGAGCACCGTCACATGCGCCTAGCGCAGGCCTCCTGCTCCAACTACGACACGCCACGCTGGGCCACCACGCCGCCGCCACTGGCCGGGGGCGCTGGGGGCGTCGGGGGTGCGGGCGGGGGCCTCGGGCCCGGCCAGGCCGGGTGGCTAGAAGGGGGCCGGGCAGGGGGCGCTGGGGTACGTGGGGGTGAGGGCCCCGGGGGCAGCACGGCCTACGTAGTGTGCGGGGTCATCAGCTTCGCCCTGGCCGTAGGCGTCGGCGCCAAAGTGGCCTTCAGCAAGGCGTCCCGTGCGCCCAGGGCACACCGGGAGATCAACGTGCCCAGGTTCGTGCACGCTGAAGCATGAAGGTGGGAAGTCTGGGGGTGGAGCCATCTGGGAGGGCGGGACTACACGGATGGGGGCGTGGTCAGAGACCCCGGAGTCTGGGAATGCCTGGCTGTTAGTGTCCCGGAGAATCATGCCTCGTTCATTCTACAAATACCTAACTTCTTGAGCACTTTCTGTGGGCCAGGAGCTGAGGATACAGGAGTGAACAAAGATAAGGTCTCTGCCCTGGTGGTTAAGCCTGGCTTCCCATCCCAGGTCTGCTGCCTGTGGGCTGTGTGACCCCCACAGCAATTTGCTTAAACTATTTGTGCCTCTCTGTTTCTTCATCTGCACAATTGGGCTAATAAATGTTCCCCACCCATTCGGACTGTAATGAAGATTAACTGGGTTGATTCATGTCGAGTCCTGGCACACGGTAAGCCCTCAATAAATGTTGGCTACCATTATCATAAAAGTTAGTGGCCAAGACAGGAAGCAAGCAATGCATACACAATATACGTTTGGATACTGATAACTTCTGTGAAGAAAATAAAGCAGAATAAGGGAATAAGGAGTGGGGGGGGTGTCTGTTTTATATGAAGTGTCCAAGAAAGGCCTGAGCAGAATTAAAGGATAAGAGCAAACCAAGCAGATATCAGTGGGAATGGCCTTCCAGAGGGAACAGTACATGCAAAGGCCCTGAGGTGGAGTGTTTGTAGGACGTCGAAGGAGCCAGTACAGCTGGAGAGCCATGGCAAGGAGGTAGACAGAAGCAGGCAGAGGCCAAGTTTATTCTAGGGTGATGGGGGAACCCCCGCAAGGCCCTGAGCTCAGGCTGTGTGGTGAGACAAGACTGCAAGGGACAAGGGCAGAAGAAGGAGACCAGTTAGGAGACCGTAGCAATGATCCAGGTAAGAGATGGTGCAGGTAGCAGCAGAGGTGGTGAGAAGTGGTCTGGTTTGGGATGCAGTCTGGAGGGCGTATCTGCGAGATTGCTGAGGAACAGGAGGGAAAGAAAAAGAGAAGTCAAGGGTGATTCTAAGATTTGGGGTCTGCATAGCTGAGCAAATGCAGCACCCTTTACCCCCAAGGGGAAGTCTGCAAAAGAAACAGGATTGAGCTCCCAGGTCAGGGTTGGGTGGGGCAGGGCCACAGGGAAGATGAGGTGGGTAGGGTCCAAATGGATTGGGAAGGGACTCTGCAAGCAGGAAGTGTGCTCCCAGAAACCTCTGGGCCGACAGTGCTCAGACTGCCATTAGTGAGGGGCATGGCCCCAGGCTAGAAGCCCACAGAGCAGAGTTTACACATTACCCCAAAGGTGGGAGAATTGGGAGGCGAAAGAAGCCTGGGCTCTCCCTCTCCCCCCCACACCCTCTCACCAGACAAAGGACCATCTCTCTGCTGTTTCTAGGGCTCTGGTGGACATTCTGAGGCATCAGGCTGGACCTGGGACCCGCCCAGACCGGGCACGAAGCAGCTCCTTGACTGCAGGGGTCGGAATTCCCGACAGCATGGCCCCAAGAACACCCAAGAGCCTCTACAACACCATGAAGCCCTCCAATCTCGGTGAGTGGGACTCGGGCTGCGCCTCTGAACATGCCCCTCATCCTTGTAGCCCTACCTTCTCTGGGTGGCCCCACCTTCTCTGGGTGGCACCACTTCTGACTGCCCAGGCTGCGCCCCCAACCACAGCCTCCCTGCTTTGCAGTGAGAACCCCCTCCCTCCCTGACCCCTGTGGACCCACAGGGTGGGCACCATGGAAGCCACAATGATTTAGATTTTGACATTCTCAGCCCCTGTACTTGACAAACCCCGTGTCAGACCACTCAGCAGCCAAGGACACCCCAGGAAGTGCCTAACTACCGAGTCAGAACTTGTCAGGGCCCAGACCCCAGGGCTGGCATTTTGGCTCTGTCCTGGTGTGCCATGGGGCAAGCCCATGCCCTCGCCCATGAGATAAGAAGGAGGCAGGGCTCCCCTGATAGGGCTGTTGTGAAGGGCCAATGAACAAGGGAGCCCAGAGCTGGGAGCCCTGCCTGGCCCAGAAAATGTGCTGTGTGAATGTGAGCCATTGTTGTTGTTCTCCTGTTTCACGGTGAGTAAGAGAAGTCCGGGAGCTGGAACAGGCTGAATGGGTCTCATCTGCCTGGAGGAGGAAGGCTCCCCAGGAAAGGCAGCTGGAGTGGTGGCCAGGAGGGTGAGGGGAGGGGCTTGGGCTGGGAGAGCTCTGGGTGGCTGGAGCAGAGCTGGTGAGGCCAGAGAGAGGGTGGGCAGACCCGAGTGCCGGGCTGAGGTCAGGAGCTCTGTCTTCATCCTGAGGGCAATGGAGAGCCACAGAAGAGTTTAGAGCAAAGTTGGAAGTGCGGGGGAGGCTGTGCTATGTGAAGGGGAGAGGCTGTAAAGGACAGGCCTGAATAGCAGTAATAAGAGGCATTTGAATTGGATCTTGAGGGACAAGTAGGAGTTCTTCAGGCAAATAAGGGGAGGCAGGGATGCGAGACAAAGAGAACAGCGTGTGCAAAGGCCCTGAGGCAGGGCTGCGGTGGGCTCCGTCGGGCACTGGAGAGAAGTGTGGCTTGAGAGTGGGGTGGGAAATGAGACTTCAGACATCAGCTGGGGCCAAGTCATGCAGCCCTCAAATGCTACTGTCAGCTTAGACTGTCCCCAGTGGACGATGGCAAGACATGAGAAGTATGTCAAGGAGCCAGAGGGGCATGGACAGGTGTGGATGGAGCAGTACCGTGGTGGAGCTGACCCTGGACATGGATGGCCCGCGGCCAGAAGGCCGATGTGATGCTCCGGGAGGGAGAGCCGAGTCAGGGCGAGATTTAGGAGGCAGGCAGGACCGAAGCTGGGGACCAAGTGCATGTAAGTAGGGGGTGTTCCATGAGACCAGTGGCCCCAGCTGGAAGTGGGTGATAGTGGTGACGCCACCTCCCTTCTTGGTCCCCACAGATAACCTGCACCACAACTACCTGCACCTCAACGTCAACAGCCCCAAGCACCACACCACTACACTGGGTATGGACCAGGACTGGGCTGGGGACAACAGGGCTCCTCTCCTTCCCACTCCTGATTGAGCCCGGGCTGGGTGCCTGGGACAGAGCAGGTGTGAGACCCTGTGAGCCTGTCCTCACAGTCTAGCCAGGTAACGAAGCAAACCTCAGTTTCCCTGTTTGGACACCAGAAGTGGTCATCTTCCTCCCACCCACACTGGTGGGAAGAAGCAGGCATCTACCCCTCAGCCTTGGGCACAGCACCCAGTGGGTGCTGAGCAAGGGCCAGCTGCCCCGGGTCCTGTGACATGTCCTCCTTCTCCAGCAAAGAGCCTGTCTCCTGATGAGGGGGAAGTGAGCAGAGGCAACCTGGACAGCCAGTGGAAGCTTTGAGGGCCTGGAACCCCAGATTTAGAGGCTGGGGGCCTAGACTCCAGAGTCTGAGGGAGGAGGGGCTGGGGGCTGGACTCCAGAGTCTGAGGGAGGGGCTGGGGGACCTGGACTCCAGAGTTTGAGGGAGGAGGGGCTGGGGGCTGGACTCCAGAGTCTGAGGGAGGAGGGACAGGGGGCTGGACTCCAGAGTCTGAGGGAGGAGGGACAGGGGCCTGGACTCCAGAGTCTGAGGGAGGAGGGGCTGGGGGCTGGACTCCAGAGTCTGAGGGAGGAGGGGCTGGGGGCTGGACTCCAGAGTCTGAGGGAGGAGGGGCTGGGGGCTGGACTCCAGAGTCTGAGGAAGGAGGGGCTGGGGGACCTGGACTCCAGAGTCTGAGGGAGGAGGGGCTGGGGGGCCTGGACTCCAGAGTCTGAGGGAAGAGGGGCTGGGGGACCTGGACTCCAGAGTCTGAGGGAGGAGGGGCTGGGGGCTGGACTCCAGAGTCTGAGGGAGGAGGGGCTGGGGGCTGGACTCCAGAGTCTGAGGGAGGAGGGGCTGGGGCCTGGACTCCAGAGTCTGAGGGAGGAGGGGCTGGGGCCTGGACTCCAGAGTCTGAGGGAGGTGGGGCTGGGGGCTGGACTCCAGAGTCTGAGGGAGGAGGGGCTGGGGGCTGGACTCCAGAGTCTGAGGGAGGAGGGGCTGGGGGCTGGACTCCAGAGTCTGAGGGAGGAGGGGCTGGGGGCTGGACTCCAGAGTCTGAGGGAAGAGGGGCTGGGGGCTGGACTCCAGAGTCTGAGGGAGGAGGGGCTGGGGGCTGGACTCCCGGGTCTGAGGGAGGAGGGACAGGGGGGCCTGGACTCCTGGGTCTGAGGGAGGAGGGGCTGGGGGCCTGGACTCCAGAGTCTGAGGGAGGAGGGACAGGGGGGCCTGGACTCCTGGGTCTGAGGGAGGAGGGGGCTGGATTCATACCAGCTGTGCCCTCTGTCCCAGACTGGAGGGCCGCCCCACCACCCAGCCCCTCGTTGCATTACTCCACACTCTCCTGCTCTCGGTCCTTCCACAACCTCTCTCATCTGCCCCCATCCTACGAGGCTGCCATGAAATCCGAACTCAACCGCTACTCCTCTCTCAAGAGGCTGGGTGAGTCCCCAGAAGGGAAGTAGCCTGATTTATGGGGCCCGATCAGAGCTGGGGTCTGGGTTCAGTACCGTGGACAGTGGCCCAACAGCCCTCTAAAGGTTTAGAGCCTCCCTCAGGTTCTTCCAGTTTGTTCCAGAATTACCTGAAGTAATTTTGTATCAAAATTACTCTGGGTGCTTTTCTAAATGCAAACTCATGGTGATATCCCCTGCAAGAGGTACTGTATTTATCAGGACTCGTACTTGCAACTAACAGAAATTCCACAGTAAGTGTGCACATGCACACACACAACAAAGGCAGCTAAGCGGGCTTGATCATGGGAAGGCTACGGATCGTGAGTTTCAGGTGTGGCTGGATGCAGGTGCTCAAAAGCTGTCTTCAGGATGCTATGTCTCTCAGCTCTGCTACACAGTGGGCCAGCTTCATTTTCAGACAGACTGTTCTCTTGTGGTGGCAAAGAGTGACCAGAGAATTTTCAGGCTGCCATTCAACCAACAGAAAAGAGACCCCGCAGTGATCCCAGTAACAATCTCAGGCCTGGGTGCCATCAGCCCAAATAACATCACACACTCATTCGTCCCCGAACCAATCACTGTGACTCTGACAGGGCATTCCTGGCTCGAGGGGGGGGGGGGGCTCATCCCCAGCAGTGGCGTGTTCCTCAAACACATTAAGCCGAGAGGACTAGGCCCCCAGTAGGCGGTGTGTGAGAGGCAACTGCACATTTTAAGCTGAGAGCCACAGGAAGAAATGCTTTTTATATTACAAACCATGAGATACATGTATGTTTGCATATTTTTAAACACAGAAAAGCTTTGGGACTTGTTATTAAGAACATTTCTAGAAGCATTTATCTCAGTCTGTTAAGATCTTGCTTCTAGGTGTATCCTCTGGCTCAAATAAGTTTTTATTAAAATTCTATTTATAAAAGAACACTTTCAAATATACCCAAGAGGAGAGAAAATTGTCACATGAACTCCCTGTGTTCCCACCATCCAACTTTAACTATGAGCAACATTTTAACCCAGTCTCCCTTACCTCCCATTTTTTGGTGGATTATTTTTAAAGAAATCCCCAGGGATTATGTCATTGCATCCATTAATATTTCAATAACACAGAGAACTGGAAAAATGTATGAGCCAGTACCCACTCTTATTCCCTTATCATGGGGATGCTTCCGGTAAGTAGAATTTTCTGTGCTGTTTCATTTTTCAAAGTGCTGGTCACTACCCATAAAACACTTCACAACCCACGCACAGGTCGCATCTCCAAGCTTGAAAAACAGCTAGAGGATGAAGGGAGGGAAAATGCTGCCTCAGAAGCAAGCGTTAGGTTACATTACCAAAAGGAATACATGCGTGGCAAAAAAAAAGGAAACGACCCCCCCAAAAACCCTACCTGTCCAGCACGGCAGGAGGGGTCTGGCAGTCTGTATTTTGGCCACATTACCAGTCTCACTGTTCGGGCTAAATTGCGCCCCTGCCCAGGCTAGCTGATGCTGGGAGACCCTGGGGGGTATGGATCCTGCCGGGATGTAGGAAGCAGGGAAGCCAGCGGGAGGAGGAAGGTTCTGGGCTGACTGGGTGCCTTTCCCCCTTCTCCCCAGCCGAGAAGGACCTGGACGAGGCCTACCTGAAGCGCTGGCACCTGGGGGAGATGCCCCGCGGGACGCTGCCCCTGCACACGCTGCAGCGACCCGGCACTGGGGGCGGCTACCGCATGGATGGCTGGGGCGGTCACGAGGAGCTGAACCTGGCGCCCGCGCCCAACCCGCGCAGGGTCATGTCCCAGGAGCACCTGCTGGGCGATGGGGGCCGGTCGCGCTACGAGTTCACGCTGCCGCGAGCGCGCCTGGTGTCGCAGGAGCACCTGCTCCTATCGTCACCCGAGGCCCTGCGCCAGAGCCGCGAGCACCTGCTGTCGCCCCCGCGCAGCCCCGCGCTGCCTCCGGAGCCCGCCTCCCGCGCCGGCCTGGCTGCCTCCCACTCCAACCTGCTGCTGGGGCCCGGGGGGCCCCCCACGCCTCTGCATGGGCTGCCCCCGACGCCCGGCCTGCACGCGCACCACCACCACGGCCTGCACGGCTCTCCGCAGCCCGCCTGGATGGCAGACGCCGGCGGGGGCGGGGGCACGCTGGCCCGCAGGCCGCCCTTCCAGCGCCAGGGCACGCTGGAGCAGCTGCAGTTCATCCCGGGCCATCACCTGCCCCAGCACCTGCGCACCGCCAGCAAGAACGAGGTGACTGTCTGAGGCCAGGCCGGGGCCTTAGGGGCTGCGGCCTCGCGGGGCCCCTGTCTCAGCCTGGAACCCCCAACACACTCCGGGGGCCCGGGACCCAGACGGGCCTGTGGCCCGGAGGGTGGGGCTCCCTCCAAGGACACTGCTTTGAATGAAACTCTGGCCAGACGCAAGGCCTTCTTCTAAAATGTCACAGACGACATCCCTCCTCCTACAAACTTGTTTGAGGCCAGACCTCCTTCCCATGACGTCATCACAGAGGGAGAGGCCTGCCTGGGAGGTTATCACTAACTGTGTCAACGCAGGGACCAGATCTTCCCCTGCGTCACAGAGGAGTGCACCGGCCCCTGAGGTCATCACTAGAGGCCACGTTCCATGACGTCACCACAAAGACTTCTTGTGATGTAATAGCAATGACAATGCCTTGTCCCCCTGACATTATCCTTAGAGACAAAGCTTCCTTCCTGTGATGTCACTGCAGAGACCAGTCTCACCCTTATGACATCATCCCTGGCACCAAAAGGCCCCTTTTGACATCATCCTCTCCAGGAAAACATTTTTCCCCAGAGAAGATGCCTCTGTCTATGATGTCATCACTGCAGACAAAGCCATCTTGTTGGGACACAATGTGTGTGACTTTACTAGACTTAAGGCCTCCTTTTCACCACATCCTCACAGGGACTCTGCCTCCTTCCTGTGACACCATCACCAGAGAAGGTGCCTTGCCCTATGACATCATCAGAGGGACTGTGCCTCTCCCTGGGGCGTCACTGCCAAAGGCGGGAGCCCTTCTGTGATGTCAGCACTAGACTGTCTGCTCTGAGATGACACCTGAGACACCTCACTGCTGTTGCCCCGTCACACAAAGGCATGGCACGCCCAGAGTCCATGAGAAAAGTGCCCTGTCCTGAGTTGGCGCCTGAGGGATGTCATCACTGGGGAAGCTACCTCGTCTAGAAAGGTCTCCCCAGAGGTGACGGAGTGCCCATAGGTTGTGAGGAGTGAGGACCCCACCCTCCTGTCTCGGGCTCTGCCCCAGTGCTGTGATGTCCTCACCGGAGACTCTGCCCGCTCTGGAGGGCCATCGCATGTGATGGTGTCACCAGTTTCTGCCTTGCCCTACCATGACTTAGTGTGGTCACTCCTTCCCCTGACCCCAGGGACGTGCCCCGCAGGATCTTGGCCAGATGCCCCCTGCGGAGGGAGGCTGGGCCTTGGGCCCCACCCCTGCGCAGGGCTGTCACCTCCTGTGTGCTTTCCCGGACTCCCAGACTGGCCCACCTGCCTCCCGGAGTCCGGAGACTCAGAGGTGTCCCAACGGCCAGCACCAAGTGTCTCTGCCATAACTAGAGACATCATTGCCTCTATCGACCGAGCTCTGGCCTGCTGCCGGGGTCGGGGCGGCTGGGTGTACCTGCTGCCGGGGTCGGGGCGGCTGGGTGTACCTGCTGCTGGGGTCGGGGCGGCTGGGTGTGCCTGCTGCCGGTCTCGCTGACGGCATCACCAGCACCACAAGGCCTCCACCACTCGCGACGGCATAGCATCTGGGGTCACACGCTCACCACGCCTGATGATGACGTCATGTCCCAGTCCTCCCCAGGACCTATGGTACCTTCCTGTCCCAGGACGCAGCACAACTATGCCATCATCCTCTTCCAGGACTCACCATGACCACACAGGGTCACCATCTCCCCAGGTACCCCCCAGTCAGTGGTGTCACCGTCTTCCATGACTCTCCACAACCATGGTGTCACGTTCCCTAGGATTCACCATGGCTGACAGTGTCATCATCTCCAAGAATTCACCATGACCGATGACATCGTTACCTTCCAGAATTCACTGTGGCTGACGATACCCTCCACCAACGCCGATGCCACCGTTTCCCATGGTCCCCCTGCCTGTGGTGCCACCAACTTGCAGATCGCCTTCAGACACGTCTCCGTGCCCCAGGGTCCACCCGGGCCAAGCTGTCATCACCTCCCAGGGTGCACTGTAGACTGGCGTCACCCCTCCCCCAGCGTCCATGAGAAAATGGTGCCCCAGGACCGATGACACCCAGTAGCGTCATCACCTCCCAGGATCCATTTCGACCATGGCCTCATCTCCCAGGATCCTCCACAATCATGACATCCTCTCCCAGGATCCAGAAAGCCCAATCGTGTCATCTCCCAGAAGCCAGTTATTTCAACCATGACGTCGTCCTGCACTGGGACCCACCACGACCATGATAAGACAGAAAACCCAATCGTGTCATCTCCCAGAAGCCAGTTATTTCAACCATGACGTCGTCCTGCACTGGGACCCACCACGACCATGACATCATCTCCCAGGACCCAGAAAACCCAATCGTGTCATCTCCCAGAAGCCAGTTATTTCAACCATGACGTCGTCCTGCACTGGGACCCACCACGACCATGACATCATCTCCCAGGACCCAGAAAACCCAATCGTGTCATCTCCCAGAAGCCAGTTATTTCAACCATGACGTCGTCCTGTACTGGGACCCACCACGACCATGACATCATCTCCCAGGACCCAGGACAGCCAATGGCATCACCACCATTTACCAGGACCCACTTCGACCATGTCCATCTCCCAGGATCCATCATCTTGAGAGCCATGTAGTACAACGGCTGTGTTTCAGTTGTCTTCTGGGGTCACGCGGCACCCACAGTTGTTCCCTTAAGGGAACCCAGCACAATACACACCATTTTCCCATTGCCTCAAAGATGGAGGAGGGGCCCCCTCTGATGGCACTGTCCCCACTCCTGTGCTTCTTGATGATGTGTCACTGCCTTGCTCCAGACTTAGGCTGATGCCTGCAACAACCCCGCCACAGACTTGGCCTTGGCCAGTCCCCCTACAACCACTCCAGTGAGCGCATCCAAGCCTCTCCTGATAACTCATTGCCCTTTGCTCAACTATCTGACCAGTGACAGGGTCAATGTGAAGACCTGTTATCATCACCAGGGTGGGGGTTTTCCTGTCCTTGGGTAAGGTCATGGCCCCTTGCCCAATCCGTCTTACCTGGACCTCCACCTGAAGCAGCATTCCATTAGCTTGGGCCATCCTCTCCCCAGACTCCTGTGGGCTGAGCCGACAGCTGCTAATTCCCCTGGGACCTTCAGTCACGTTCTCTGGTGGCCTGGTCCGGGGCTGGAGAGCCACGCCATTGTGGGTGCCATCTGTGGGGGGAGGGGCAGGCTCCGCATCAGCCCAACAATCGGAGGAGCAGCATTCTCTCCTTCACCTTCCCGCACCGGGGAGCCCCTAGGTCCCCAACACCCAGATTTGCCAAAACTCAATTCTTTGTACATAGCCATGTGGGGGGCAGCCATTCCCCCACTCTCAAAGGGCTACTCGCCCCTTCCCCCAGCCCCCAGGGCAAGGTGAGGGGGCCTCTTTTCCCTCCTCTGAGCCTTTTCCTCCTTTTTCTGCTTCCCGCTGCCCCAGATACTGGCACCTCTGTTCATCCCTACTCAGCCTTTGGCTCCCACAAACACTGAGGGAACGCGGGAAGCTGTACCCCTAGCTACCTAGACCCAAAGCCAGTTCTCAACGCCATGCTTACAGCTGCTCCTGTGGGCTCCCCTAGTTTCTTCCAGGGCCTCCCCATACCCAGTGTCCCTCAAGCAGACTGTGACTTTCCCCAACAGGAGCCAGCTTGAGCCCCTGCCCCTTCCAGACCCTTCCCCTCTGCTCACCACCCCCACACAACACTCAGCATTCTCCAGCCCCCCGGAAGTGAGGGACTCTGGACCCTTCAGCTTTTTGTATACTCCCCTCAACTTGCTCTCTCCTGGCCTGGATTCCAGGTATTTCTCCCACCACTACCACCACACACACACACACACACACACACACACACACACACACACCCTCCACTCACTCAGCACAGGCTGCCTGACCCTGGGGCCTTGACCTCTTATCTCAAATAAGCCATAGTGGGGAGAGGTCCTCAGGGGTGAGGAAGTGGGCATGTCCTGCCAGATCCCCTGGATGCTTCTGGAGATGGGACCTTGCCATCTGAGTCTCCCCTGCACCCCGCCAAAAAATACACACACACACACACACACACACACACACACACACAAACCTGTAGTGGGTGCCCACTACACCTTCTATAGTGGGTGGTCAGGGGCAGTGCAGAGACAAGGAGATAAACCATTCTGGACCAGAAGACCCTCCCCGGCTCTGTGTCCCTCACCCCCCTAACCCAACACCAGACTCTTCTCCCAGTTCCTCAGTGAGGACAGCCAGCTGAGCTGCAAGTTGGTATTTTTGGAATAAACAGATGTTTTCCTGATCCCCAGGCTCAGAGTCACTGGAAGAGATGGGTTTATACCTGTGTGCACTGGGGATACCCTGTGTGGCCAAGGTGGGGGTCAGGCATCCAGATGTCTTCACAGGTGGTCAGGGACGCCTCTGTGCACCCTCCCCCCGCGAGGAGTCAGGCATGGGGCCTGTGGAAGGTGCCTCTAAGTCCTCGGTTTCTTCCTAGGAAAGCCTCTTCCCTCTGAGCCTTTGTTGGCACGTTCTGTTTGCACCTCCTTATATTTGAACTCTCCAGCTGTATGAGTTTTCTGGGGCTGCTGCCACAAAGTGCCACACACCGGGTTGCTGAAGCACAGAAGAGTATTGTCCCCCAGTTCTGGAGGCTGGAAGTCCAAGATCGCAGCGTCACAGGGCTGGTTCCCTCCGAGGCTGACTCATTCCCCTCTTTCCTAGCTTCTGGCAGCGGCTGGCGTTCCTGTACCCGTCACCTTTCCTCTGTCCGCATCTGTCTCTGTGCCCACGCTTCCCTGTTCTATGGGGACACCAGTCATATGGCATTGGGGCCCACCACACTCCATGACTCCATCCAAACTCAACCATCTGGAAAGATCCTATTTTCAAGTAAGGTCACACTCATAGGTCCTGCAGGTCCGACCTTGAACATCTTTTGGGGAGGACACTATTCAACCTACAATGGGGTGTGACAAGGCACAGTCTGTTTCCGCACCAGTTTTTATAACCACCGCTCCATTTTCCCCACCTCTCTCCTCTCACCCACCACACTCGAGTATTTGCACAGTGATGACTGGAGCTGCTCCCTCTTCTCAGCAGGTGCCAGGAAGGCTTGGTTGTAGGAACTGTGGGAGAGCGCTCCCCTACGGGCACCTAGGGATGCCTTTACAAGCTGCAGGCTTTTGTCTTGCAACAGAGCCTTCCTCTGCACGTCCCTCTGGGGGTGGTTTGTGTGTGCAGGGCATTTCCGTTTGGATTTATCCTTAAGAAAACCCCTTCCTCTCTAGTGCATTCAAGGGTTTGCTTTCAACATAGTAGGTTTTACCCTCTATCAGTCAGGGTTCTCCAGAGAACTAGAACCAATAGTGTGTGTGTGTGTGTGTGTGTGTGTGTGTGTGTGTGTGTGTGTGTGTGTGTGTGTGTGTGTGTGTGTGTGTGCGCGCGCGCATGTAGATTCATTTTAAGGAACTGGCCCATGAAATCGCGGGGACTGACTAAATAAACTAGCAGGATCCTGGCTGGTGTAGCTCAGTGGATTGAGCACGGGCCTGTGAAGCAAAGGGTTGCTGGTTCGATTCCCAGTCAGGGCACATGCCTGGTTTGCAGGCCAGGTCCCCAGTGGAAGATGCATGAGAGGCAACCACGCACAGATTTTTCTCTCCCTCTCTTTCTCTTTCCCTCTCTCTAAAAATAAATAAACTCTTTAAAAACAAAAACCCAGCAGGCGGGCAGGCCGGAGACTCAGGCAGGCTTCCATGCTGCAGTGTCTTTTTTTTTTCATGCTGCAGCCTTAAGGCAGAATTCCCTCTTTTTCAAAAAAAACCCTCAGCTTTGGCTCTCAGGTCTTCAACTGATTGAACAATGACCACCACATGCCTTACAATCACACCCTTTACTTGAAGTCAATTGACTGTCACTATTAATCACGGCTACAAAACACCTCCATGGCAACTCCCAAACAGGTGTTTGACCCAACAGCTGGGCACCACCGGCTGGCCAAGTGGACAAAGGAATGCTGACCAGCACACTCCTTGTAGGAAAGTGTGTGGATTGGAGTTGGAGAACGCCTCCTCTCCTTCATGCAGCTGAGTGTTCACCATTGGCTGCATGTCACCCGCTGAGTTTGTTTGCTTGGCTGTAGATTAAAGCGGGGTGGGGTGGGGAGGTGTTCAAGTACTGGTGTTATGATCATCTATAAAATGCCCCCGGACCTGTGTATGAGGGCTGTTTGCACGTTCTTATAAATTGCCTTTTTGTCCACAGGTAACAAGTGAGTAGGGAGAAGAGTGGTGAGTGTGATTCCCTGGGCACTCAGAGATGCTCCTCCTGGGCACGCAGTAGAACTGCATTTCCTTGTTAGATGTGCCTATGGTTGTGCCTCATGCATGAGCAGAAGTGCCTTTCCAGGTGGAAACTTCTAAGAGCCAGTGTGTGGGTCCCACACTGTCCCTCTTCTCCCTGCCATGGTCACTGGCAGTATTTCAGGCGAGGGCTACTCCTGGCAGCCTGGATTCCAGACAGATCAGCCAGGACGCAGGGTAAGGGTAATGCCTTGGCCGACCCTCAGTGGACGTGCAGCATGAGTGGAAAAAACCCTTGTTGCTTTATCAAGCGGTGCTTTGGGCTGTTTGTCACTGCAGGAGAGTGTAGCCTGTTCTGGCTGACACTGTTGCCTGTGGAGAGGCGACCTGGATGGCCCAGGGCTTTCCACTGTATATTCTTTCGTACTTCTGAACTTTTGTTGTATCTTTTTTTAAAATCCTCACCCGAGGACATACTTATTAATTTTAGAGAGGGGGGAAGGGAGGGACACAGAGAGGGAGAGAAACACTGATTGGTTACCTCTCGTTCAAGCCCTGACCAGGAGGGACTGTACCTGCAGTCTCAGCATGTACTCTGACCAGGAAGGGAACTCGTGACCTTTCAGGTTACAGGATGATGCTCCAACCGAGCCACACTGGCCAGGCCACGTTATACCTTTTCCTAAAAAAAAAAAAAGTCTGAATATAAACAGTGCAGGCTTTGACAGCATTCCCATCACTGGGCACATGCCCAGGAGTGAGCACTGACAGTGTGTGTCTCGTTCCTCCCCCACGCAGGGTGACTGGCGTCTCGCTCTGAGTTGGAAGGCCAGGGCTTGAATGTGTGGGTTTTTCATGCAGCATGGCCCTCAAACACTTCACTTCTCTTCAACCAGGAAAAGAGCAACCTGATCCACATATACTGTACTTTGCTTGGATAAGTCAAGGATGAGATGCGACAGAAGCACTTGTGCCTTCGTGACCTAACACTTGCTCGATTTGCAACTCTGCTCTGTGGATAAATACAGCCTCCGAACAGCTATTCTTATCCTGCGTTTGATGGGGCAGGACTGTGAACTTCTGGAATCTGCACCAGATGTTGTGTGCGTGTGCTTTTCTTTCCACTTCTTTTCAACCTTGTTTTTCAAATAATTCCAAACTTGTAAAACAGTTACAGGCAATTTCAAAGAATTCATGTGTAGCTTTTGCCAATTCGCCAGTTGTTAACCTTTCATCGCACTGCTTTTTTGGTTTTCTTTTCATAAAACTATTCTCTTCTTCTTGGAGACATCTGAGAGTAAGTTGCATACATCATGCCCCAGAATACCTAAGAGACATTTCTGCAGAACAAGGACATTCTCTTACACAGCCACAGTACAAAGATCAAAGTCAAGAACTTAACTTTGATGAAGCCCATGTTCGAGGTTCACCCCTTGGCCAGGGGACCAAGAGGGGGCTACTTTCCCCTCTGTCATTAGGAAGTACCTCACCTGGAGATGATCTGATACCAAATAGACCTTGTGTTCCTCCTCAAACATTTGTCTGCTGCTCCCAGCCTCACGGGTGCTTCTCTTGCCTTGAATCAGTTATTATTATGGTGTCTGCCAAATGATTGTTTTCAAACTTCACCATCCCTCTGGCATTTACTGGTTAGCATTTACACACCCTTCTTTGGGGAAAGAGGATCCAATACTTTTGTTAGTGCCTTCGAGACACCAATGAGTCCAACAACAAACTCACCACATTTCCAACGGCTCTAGAGTACTCTACACTTTGTGGACACGGCGTAATTCTTATTCCAGTCCATACCACTAGACAGTTGGATTTTTCTCCCATTCTTCGCTACCACAAACGACCCCTTGAGAATGCCTTTGCACATACCACGTGATGTAGTCACTCTTCCCTAGGATGAGCTCCCAGGAGGTGACCATCTGGGTGAGGGGCTGGGTGCATTTTGAAGACTTTGCTCCACACAGCCAAGCTGCAATCCCAAGAGGTCCACCTATGCGAGAACATCCCTTTGCTCTGACCTCATCAGCATCAGGCATATTCTGCTTAATGCTAATGTGCACCAGAGCTGTTGGTTTTACAGCCATTAAACCTGCCCCGAAGCATGTTTTTATCCAGTGCGAAGCCAGCCCTGCGTTCTAGGGGTTTCAGAGCAGGGATGAGAACCAGACGTTTTGGTACTGGAGCGTCTTTCACTAGGGGGCGCACCTGATCCATTGCACCTCGGAGCTCGATCCTCTGCTCACAGAGCAAAGGACTGAGGTTCTTGTTAATGGCCTGCCACAGCACATGCGGGCAGGCTTACAAACACAAAGGCCACTGAGGGGAAGAGGACCTGTTAGCAACTACAGGTGGTGGACTCAGAAACGAGGTGGGATGCCCAGCCTCCCCGGGGAGAGAGGAAAGGCAAGTGACCGAGGAGGCCCTGTGTCTGTCTATGCCCTGCATGGATTTTGAGGACTGCTAATAAGATTTGGGCTCACTCCTGCGTCTGGAATGACACTGCTGCTTCCTCTGCCGGAAAGACCTTCTCCAGATTCCCACAAAACTTGCTCCCTGGCCTCCTTTACATCTTGATTCACATGTCTCCTCCTTGATGAAAGTCCACCCTGACCACCCATCTACAAACAATCTCCTCCTCCTGAGTCCCCAGACCTCCTGATCCTGCTCTTAAAGATTTTATTTATTTTTAGAGAGAGGAAGAGAAATATTGATTGGCTGCCTCTCGCAGGCCCCCAACCCAGGACCTGGCCTACAACCTAGGCATGTGCTCTGATAGGGAATTTAACCAGTGACCTTTAGGTTTGTGGGATGATGCCCAAACCACTAAGCCACATGTTAGGGATTATTTCACTCTTAGAGAGAGGGTACGGAAGGGGAAAAGATGAAGAGAAACACCCCATGTGTCAGAGAAACATGGATCAGTTGCCTTTCGCATGCTCCAAACTGGAGGCCTGGCCCTCAACCCAGGCATGTGCCCTGATTGGACATTGAACCAGCGACCTTTCGGTTCGCAGGCCGGCACTCAATCCACTGAGCCACACCAGCCAGGACAGTCATTAGCACCCTTTGATGCTCTCCCCTTCTCTCAGCTACTCACCAGCATGTTCCCAGGGTCACACTGGCAGTCCTGTGTTGTGGGCAACCCTGGAAGGTCATGCAAATAAGTAGAACTCTGCCAAGGGCCACTTGGCATAACTGCAAACACGTGCTCTTTGATCCTATGATTTCACTTCTAGGAATTTCTCCTGCAGAAAAGCTCGCAGCTGCACCCAGAGATAAACGTTCATGGATACTCGGCGTAGCTTCTGGCCACAGACGGGACTGGGGGAAACACCATCCGTCGGAGAATGGTAAACAGCCCAGTGTGTTCTTACAGAGGACAAATGCTCAGCCACCCACCTACATGCACGGCCAAGGGAGGACGTGTGGGGACATGGGCTACTGAGTCTGTGTGACCGTCCCAGATGTGTGTGTGACAGGCGAAGGGGGAGAGAGCTACAACTCCAGCTTTTGCTTCTGGCTCTTCAGTAATAGTGGGCCTTTCCCTCCAAGCATGTGTTTCTTTGTAATTTAACACAGATGAGCAGAAGACATGAAGATTAATTTCTAAAGCTGGAATTCCAGCCAGTGGGATAACTGGGGTTTCGTTGTACAAAAGTAAGTTTCTGAGTCACAAATATTCAGCCAAAGGGCACCCCTTCCTTCCCCATCTCACCCCACCCTCAACTCACCCCTGCTGATCCCAGTTTCCCAAACTGACTCAGAAGGCCCACCGCTTGGCCACCTCCTGCACAGTTTTCAGATCTGCCCCCTTCTCTCTGACCACCACGGCCACCACCCTAGCCCAGGCCACAACCAACTCCCTGCTGGATTTTTTTGCTTCCAATCTAGGCCTCCAATTAAGTCTCTGCCCAGCAGCCCAGAGCTGGAGTCTCAATGTGAATACTGAAATTGATCACACACATCCCCAGGTCAGAAATCCTCACTGGCTCCCTGGGGCTCTACCGGGCTCCTCCCCTTGGCCTTCAGACCTTCAGAGCCTGGCCCTCCGTGCCCACCTCTCCTAGCTCAGAACATTCTTCCCTCACATCTCTCTCTTTCCCTAATTCTCTGTCTTTCTTTCAGTCACTCCCATCATAGCATTTTTTTTAATTCTTAAAAAAAAAAAAAAGAAAAAGAAAAAGAACAGCCCTGCTGCGACTCAGTGGATTGAGCGCGGACCTGCAAACCAAAGGGTCGCCAGTTCAATTCCCAGTGAGGGCACATGCCAGGGTTGCGGGCCAGGTCCCCAGTGAGGGGCGCATGAGAGGCAACCACACATTGATGTCTCCCCCTTGCTCCCACCCTTCCCCTTTCTCTACAAATAAATACATAAAATCTTCTTAAAAATCTGTATTGTATTTACATTTAAAAAAACCAACAGGTTTCCTGAGATATAACTCACATGCCATATATACAACTCACCGATTTAAAAGCATGCAATTAAGTGCTTTTCAGTACACTAATAAAGCTGGGCGCCCATCACCACAATCGGTTTCCGGGTATGTTCATAATCTCCCCAACATGTGTACCCATTAACTGTCAGCTCCCAACCCCCCATTTCCCCAGCCCTAGGTCATCACTACTCGTCCTTTCTGTATGGACTTGAGTGTCCTGGACATCTCATAGAAATGGAATTATACCGTCCGTGGCCCTTCATGACTGGCTTCTTTCACTGAGCTTCACGTCTCCGAGGTTCACCTGCACTGTAGCGGGTGCCAGTAATTCATTCCTTCCGATGGCTGTACAGTATTCCACCGTATGGACGTGCTGCAGTTGGTTTATCCACTCGTCAGCTGATGAATACTGCGGTTGTCTCCACCCTTTGGGTGTTGTGCATAGTGCTGCTATGATCGATCATCTGTTTGCGACTCTTTGTGTGGACATGTTTTCTCGTTTCTCTGGGATGCATAGCTAGCAGTGGAACTGCTGGACCACGTGGTAACCCTGACCATTTGAAGAACTTCCAGACTCTTTTCCAAGCCAGCTGTGTGTGAGGGTTCCAGTTTTTCCACATCCTCCCAACACTCATTATATGACTCTTTTTTTTCCTCAAAGATTTTATTTATTTTTAGAGAGATGGGAATGGAAGGAGAAAGAGAGGGAAAAGAAACATCAGCTGGCTGCCTCTCGCACGCCCCCAACTAGAGACATGGTCCACAACCCAGGCATGTGCCCTGACTGGGAATCAAACTGGTGACTTCTTGGTTCACAGGCGGGGGCTCAATCCACTGAACCACACCACCCAAGGCTAGCTCATTATGCGACTTTTTGATCATGGCCCTGCTGGTGGTGGGTGTGTGGTGGGATCTTACCATGGTTTTGATATGCACTTCCCTGCTGGCTGATGGAGCTGAGCATCTTGTCATGGGCTTAATTGGCCACTACTGTATCTTTTACTTTTTCAATGTTTATTGCTTTTAAAGAGAAAGAGGAAGAAGAAAGAGGGGGGAAAGAGAGACAGAAATATCAACATGAGAGAAAAACATCGACTGGTTACCTCCCATACGTGCCGTGACCAGGAATTGAACCTACCACCTAGGTATGTGCTCTGACTGGGAACTGAACCCCCAGCCTTTCAGTGTGCAGGACAATGGTCCAACCAAGAGCCACACTGGCCAGGGCTAGTATATCTTAACTGCCACCTCTCCTTAGGGTGACTGCAACAGCCTCCTCCCTGGCCTCCCCGCCTCTGTTCTCTCTGCCCTTCATTCTCTTCTCCATGCAGCAGTCAGAGTGACCTGGGAAAACCCAAGTCAGACCACAGCACTCCTTTGCTCAAAGCCCCACAGTGACCCCCTGTTCCCTTAGAGAAAAGGCCAGAGTCCTAACCATGGCCTTGAAGGGCCTGCACAATGCCCCCTCCCCAACCCTGACCACAGACATCCCTCTGACCTCATTTCCCCGCACCCTCCCTATCGCTCTCTCTGTTCCAGCCACCATGGCCTCCTTGCAGTTCCTTGGATGGGCGAGGCCTAGGCTCCAGCTGCTCCCCTGCCCAGAATGCTCCTCCTCAGATAAGCAGGTGGCTCACTCACTCTCTTCCTTCTAACCTGGCTACAACTGACACCCGGACCTGGCTTAAAATTCGCCAGGGCATCACACAACCTGGCACACCAAGCCCCTCCCCTGCTCTCCTTTTTTCTTTAACCACAACACTCATTCCCTTCTGACAGACCATGTATTTTACTTACTATATTTTGTTTTTGTGTCTGTCTTCCCCACCACAGCATGCCTGACAAGAGCAAAGATTTTTGTTGACTAACATATCCCCTATGCCCAGAATGGTGCCCAGCACATAGTAGGTGCTCCATAAATACTTGTTCAATCAAAGGACACCTTTGATCTCTCAGGCACTCCGATTGGGGCTGAGGACATGATCCCTGCTCTCCTAGATAGACCTACTCAGGGAGACAGAGACAGACAGTTAAACAAATAGTTACAAATTCTGATGGACCATAAAGACCAAAGAAGGTGAAGTGAACTGAGTGCTGAGGAGTGGAGGACACTACTCTGAGGGGTGACATTTTAAGGTGCGCCTAGACTACAAGGAAGATGGAAGAGGGGGAAGAAAGCTCTCCAGGCACAGGGCACTCGAGTCGGAATGACACAGAGCTTAGCTGACGCCAGGCACAGACACAAAAAGGCCGAAGAGCCTTAAGGAGAGTGTGCTGATGGACCTCACTGAAGTTCGGGATTAGTTCAAAATGATGTGTCGGGGGAGCTCTTGAAAGGTTTTTAGCAGGCCTGGGGCACACTGGGATTTCAGGAGGTGGTAAAGGACAGCCTCCTTAAGGGCCAGCTCCCACCAGTGCCCATTCTATAAACAAAGCCTGATTGGACGGCTGACCCCTCTGTCTGCACATTGTCTCTGGCAGTGGAGCTTAGCTGACTAGGCTGGGAGAGACCAAACACCCAGAAAATCAAAATTGTTTACTGAGCCTTGGCCAGTGTGGCTCATTTGGTTGGAGCATCATCCCTTAACTGATGGCTGTGGGTTCGATTCCTGGTCAGGGCTCATACTTAAGTTGTGGGTTCAACCTCTGGTCAGGGCACACACAGGGGGCATACAGGGCACAGACAATCGATGTTTCTCTTTCTCCCTCCCTTTCTCTCTAAAAACAAGGGGAAAAAATGCCCTCAGGTGAGGGTTTTTACTTTCTCTAGTAAAAACAAAAACAAAACATCTTTACTAGAAAGGTTTGCTGGCCCCAATTTTCAACTGTCCAGGGTACAGGTGATCCCTCTCCCTCACACTATGTCCGGCCTAACACCAATTCCTATTGACTTCACCCAACCCAGTAGTACCCACCTGTCAAAGCCACCAGCATCCCGAGTTGGGCAGCAGCAATCATCTCCTCACTGGCTTCTCTGTTCCTGCCTGCAAGTCACATGGAATCGCACCATCAAAACCTCCATAGCTCCCCAGCACTTGGAAGAAAAGAACACACTGCTGACCACAGCCCGGGTATGTAACATAACCCCGACCCCTCTCACCTCAGTGCCCTCCGCCTGCCCAGCTCACTCTGACCCAGCCTCGCTGGCTTTGTGGTGCTGCCCCCAAACCACCAAGCCCGATCTCTTCTGTGGTCCTTTGCATCTGCTGTTCCCTCTTCTCAAAATGCTTTTCCCATTAATCTTCCTATAGCCCAGGTGGCCAGCCCTTCCTCAGAGAGGCTTTTCCTGACCAGACAACGTCAAGTAGCAGCAACTCCCCATCCTGCAGTTCTACTGCCCTTCCTTGTTTTGTTTTGATTTTTTGTTTTCTTTTGAGAGAGAGAAACATCGATCAGTTGCCTCTCCAACGTGCCCGCACCGGGACTGAACCTGCAATCTAGGCATACACCCCGACCAGAAGCAAACTGGTGACCTTTCGCTTTGCGGGATGATGCCCAACCAACCGAGCCCCATGCGTCAGGGCTTTCAGTCTTTACCACTGACCCACACTTTGGACTACAATTACTTCCTTACTGCCTGGCTCCCGGACCCACACGTAAGCTCCACGAGCAGGAGGGGTCTGTCCTTTTGGCTCTCTGCCATATCCCCATAGCATCCTGCCTCCCACATGGTACGTGCTCAAAAAATAAGTTGATTGAATGAACGTGGCGGCCACAGCGGGAATCATAAAGTAGCCCCAACTGGGTGTGACAGGTCAAGCGCGCAAACTACAACAGGCCTGGCTCACGGCAAGCGTGTGGCACACACCAGACATTATCATCATCACCATCATAGGCTGGTTGGGGGATTTGTGAAATGGGGGTTAGTGAAACCGGCCCCTCTGCTTTGTCCTGCCTGGGGTGGGGGTGGGGATGGGCCAGTCCCCTTGCCAGCCCATCTTCCTTCAGTGTCCTTGTGTGTTAACCGGGCCCGGAACAGCCCGTGCCCAGCAGGATAAGGCTCAAGGCCAGGCCTCCGCGACTCTACTTATCACTGTTACTCTGTAGCTGATTTTGAGCCGCCCTGCCTCCCTGTGCAGAGCTGGCAGCCAAGGGTCTCTTCGGGACAATGGCCATGCTGGACCCGACTTGGCGGAACTGAGAGGCCAGGGACCTGCACTGCGGCCACCACGCTCGGGTGCGACGGTGAGGCCACTGCAGCCCGATTTGTACCTGAGGCCTGGAGGAGCTCCCCTGTCCTGTTAGCTGCGCGTCCATTTCGCAGCCGGGGAAGGTGAGTCCCAGCAGAGGCCCTGAGATTGAAGCGCCCATTTTCCACGTGGGGAAACTGAAGCCCGGGGTTGTGACTGAGGCCTGGCCAGGGTCAGGGGTCACACATCGCAGGGCCGGGCAGTCAGGCCTGCAGAGCCGCACTAACTGGTCTCAGAACCTGCACAACACCGGACACAGGTCACAGGTCATTGCCCACACAAAATGGCGCCTCGAGGAAAAATGAAGATCGATCCCCAGCGCCCACCTTACCCCGCAACCCGCGCTGAGGAGGTGGTGAGGACAGCCCGCGCACAACTCATTTGCATACACAAAAAAATACCAATTTCGTTGGCTGTGAGCCGCTTGGTACGCGCTAGGGAGGGCCCCCATTGGTCTCTCCCTACTCCTTCGGCGCGCTAGCACCGCCTTTTCCTGCAAGGATTGGGCCGTACGAGTGTCGTGACGCCATCCTACGACTGCGCATTCCTATTGGTCTTAGTGCCGTCCATCATCCTTTTAACCCTCCCTAGTCCCGCCTGTCCTCGCTCTCCCCGTACACCCGAGCCGACCGTTAGTCGCGTGCGCGATCTCTTGGGCTTAAGGGCGTGCGCGCGTACGCTGGGGCGTCTCATTCAAACGGGCCAATCAGCAGTCGCATCGCCTCTCGCGTTCTTTTCCTCTCTACTACCTCTTTTCAGCTTCTCTATAGTCCGGGATTCCCATTCCAACCCCTGCGTGCCTACATTGGCAGGCCTGCCGCGCGCCTCCTCCCTAACTTCTCCCGCTTTCGCCCGAAGATTACGAAAAAGGAGCGAGCCCGTCGAACATCAAGGACCCTACGCGCTGACGTCACGGGTCGAGGCGCGACGCTTCAGGGCCGCGAGGGGGCGTCGCCTGCGGGGGGTATAAAAGGGCCACGGTGCGCGCGCGGCGGGCTTAGTGCGGCCGGCACCGGGGTTGTCCGTACCTGTGGGTACTGTGCGCAGTGGGCGTCGCAGGCGGCGGGGAGCAGAGCGGAGCCGCCGGGGCCTAGCCAGGGCCGAAGCGGCAGTAGTTGGGCCCCCCGCCCCGGCCGGCGGCTCAGAGAAGGCAAGAAGGGGGCCGGGGGGACCCGCCCCCGGCCGACCGCAGTTATGGTGAGCTCGGCGGCCAGGCCCGGGAGGGGCGGTGGGAGGCCCCTTGGAGGAGTAGGCGGGGTTTCGGGAGCTTGTTCGGACGATCTGGGGGGTTGGCGGGCCCGCCTGGGGGTCCTGGGCTAGGAGTGGGCTCACAGGCCTTTCTGTAGGCGGAGCAGGAACCTAGGTGGCCCGCAGGTTCCTTGGAGGAGGCCCGGCTGAGTTCCGGGGCGAATAGAAAGATGGGGCGGGGAGGCTGTCCCGGTTTTGTGTCCCGCCCGTGTGTTTTCCAAGATTAGGTGGGGAATGGGACAAGGGTGCACGTCAGCGTACCCAGAATCATTGGCGGCCCATTCGGGGCTACGAGCGGGCTTTGGGGGTTCCTGGAGAGTGTGAAGCCATCCGCAAGTTCCGTCGGAGAACCGCCATTATTTCTGGTGGGTTTCTCGGCCTCGGACGGCGGTCTGCAGCCTGCAGCATCCTGGATGGGGGTCTGCAAACCCAGGAGTGGTTCACAGCGCGGGACATCAAGGTCAAGACTAGAGCAACCACAGCATCTTGCAGAGAGTCTCAGGTCTGCCAGCCACTCACCCCTTCCTCTTGTGTGTGCCCAGAACTCCAATGTGGAGAACCTTCCCCCCCACATCATCCGCCTGGTGTATAAAGAGGTGACGACGCTGACCACGGACCCGCCTGATGGCATCAAGGTTTTTCCCAATGAAGAGGACCTCACCGACCTGCAGGTCACCATCGAGGGCCCTGGTGAGTGTGGGAATGGAACACGGAGGAGCGAGCACATGCACCTCCTAGACTCCTCAACTTTAAGACAAGAGTAGGAAGGTCCCATTATATACTGGACTTTGCCAACTGCAGGGAACACAACAGTAGACAGGACTGGCACACCTCTTACTCTGCAGGTGCTCAGTCTGCAGGACAGCACCCCACAAATGACAGAATTGTGGACTTTTCTATAAGTGTAGTGAGACAGTGCTGGTCACCCTGGGAGCATTTAATGGGTACCTTACCTGGGGTTGGGGTGAGGCTGTCAGACACAGGTTCCCTCAGACCTGGAGGGTGGGTAGGAGTTCAGCGGGAATGGGAAGAGGGTGCCAGGTGGTGCGAGCAGCATCAGCAGTCCAGAGGGTGGGCCTGGCTGGCAACCTCAGACTGTCCCGCTGTCCGGGTCAGGGACACAAACTGGGGGAGGTAACAGTAGTAAGCCAGTGACTACGGCAGTGGTTTCATTGTACAGTGACTTGACACGTTGTCTCAGGTGCAGTATGTTTCTGTCACTAGCTGACCTTTTACAGAGTAAGCCAAGATGTTACAAGTGTGTGGTGACAGACCCAGTCAGGAATCGGGACAATAGGGAAGGGGGACAGGTGGACTTGCTGTGGTGGTGGCAGTTAAGATAATTCACTGCTGCGTGAGGGGTGGTGAGAGCTTTGTAGGAACAGAATCCATGAAGCTTTCAGGAAGCAGGTCCCTTAGGGCTTGTAAACCTCTGAAGGGAGTTTGGAAAGGAAGCTGTTGGTGGGTTTAAAGCAGTGTGATGGTCCTTGCAGAACTCACTTTGACTTGAGTGGCGGTGGGAGGTGGGGGGTGATAGAAGCTGGAGGCCAGGCAACTGCTGCTGGCAGCAGGTGAGTGGCGTGGTGTTTTGGCTGGACTGGGAGGTAGGGACGAGGGAGGAGTGGGCCTGAAGGTTAGCTGCCCAGGCTGCCTGTGGGTCAGATGTTGGCACTGGGGCATGAGGAGTGGCCATGAGTCTCAAAAACCCATAGCTTTTTGACTAAGAACCGTTGACTGAGGTGGGCAAGACAATGGAATTGACAGAGCTGTCCTGTCGCCGTTTGCCACAAGGCTTCCAGGAGGACAAGTGGGTGCAAGTGACTGTGCCTCTTGCAAATAAATGCTGCTGGGGCCTTCACTTGGGAGAGAAGAGGCATTCGTGGGTGGAGACTGGGACTCGGTGTCTGTAGAAGTAGGCCACAGTCAGGGGGCTAACTCTGACGGGGGTGGTTGCTGGTGCCTGCAGGCCCTGGGAACCTAGCCCTGTTCTGCTCTCCCAGAGTTTGGAGTCAAAGAGGAGGAGGCAGCAGGGCCCTTGCCTCCCAGCCAGTGCATGGAGACAGGCTTTTGGCGTTTTGTCGGGTGCTTGGGAGATCTGCGCCTGCGCCTCCTGACCTGGTTTCTTCCCTACACTTCCAGAGGGGACCCCCTACGCCGGAGGCCTGTTCCGCATGAAACTCCTGCTGGGGAAGGACTTTCCTGCCTCCCCGCCCAAGGGCTACTTCCTGACCAAGATCTTCCACCCAAATGTGGGTGCCAATGGCGAGATCTGCGTCAACGTGCTCAAGAGGGACTGGACGGCTGAGCTGGGCATCCGGCATGTGCTGCTGGTGAGCTCTGGGGTGGCCGGGGCCTGGACACCCCCGTGATGTCCAAACACTTTTTTAAAAATCAACTCTGAGATAGTTGGGGGTTTTGATGTGAAAAGCAGGTGTCCAGCTTTTCAGGGAAATTCTGGGAGACTTGGCAATGCTGGATGGGACCCAGTACGCCAAGTTCAGGGGTGCAGGTTGTTCAGTGCCTGGGGCAGGCACCTTTGCTCTGGAACAGGTGGTGGAGGAGCAGACCAAAACGTTTTGTTCTGCTCTGAAGTACACGGTTGCCTGGTTTCTCAGTAGTCAGTGTGTGCAGCTCTCACCCTGTAACTCCAGACCGTCTCCATAACTATTGTTTCTCAGCCAGGTGTGACATGACCCCACCTGGGGTGTTTTAATTGCTGAGTCTAGTGGGGGACAGCAGGGGTCCTGCAGGGCAGGGTGGCCCCCACGGACAAGGACCAGCCCTGCCAGTCAGGCTGAGATGGAGGCCACCTAGAGCATTTAGGTCCCCGCTGCCCTTTCCCCCTCTTTCAAAGTGTAAGAAATTTTTTTGGAAACTGAATTTTTAATGAGCCTCTGGAGCAGGTGGTTGGGAGGACAGGGAATTGGGGTTTCCTGGGGGGCATGGAGGGAGGAGGATTGAGCTCCAAGGTAAACAGATCTCCAGCCCTTTTCCTCCTATCCCTAGAGTATCAGTGGTGGCTGCCAGGGGACACCCACAGTGGAGACAAGTTCACAGAGTATCATGATGATCTTCAGGGCCATGGTGCCCTGCCTGTATCAGGCGTGGCCATGAGGGAGCCCAAGAAGGGCCCATGGGGGGGTTGCAGTAGTGACAGTTAAGGTCGATCCTGGTCCCCGATCATCTGTAATGATGTCTGTTGGGCCAGGGTGCTGCCACCATTTACAAGCCAGACAGGTCATGTCACCTGCTCAAGGCCAGGCACGGTCTGGGTTGTTGAGGGTTCCCTTTAAGCACGGAGGTGGAGGCAGGGCCACTTTACATCCTGGTGCCTTTCTCGGGTGTGGTTCCAGCCCAGCCAGAGTCTGTGGCTCTGCTCCTGGGATTCCTGTTAAAGCCAGGGACAGCTCTGGGTTCACGTGTCTTTCTGTGGTTTTGTAAAAGGAGCTTGGAGTCCAGCAGGCCCAGGTGAGAGTCCTCAGTTGTTCCCCTCATCTCCTTAGTTACCTTGGGGCAGTCCCTCCCCTTGATCACTGGTCTTGTGGGGCTCTTTTCAGCTGATCCTGGGCTCTCTCCCACAGACCATCAAGTGCCTGCTGATCCACCCCAACCCTGAGTCCGCCCTCAACGAGGAGGCGGGTCGCCTGCTCTTGGAGAACTACGAGGAATATGCGGCCCGCGCCCGCCTGCTCACAGAGATCCACGGAGGTGCCGGCGGACCCAGCAGCGGGAGGCCTGAGGCCAGCCGGTCCCTGGCGAGTGCAGCTTCGGCCTCCTCCACCGACCCCCTGACCCCGGGGGGTCCCGGAGGGGCTGAGGGGCCCATGGCCAAGAAGCATGCAGGCGAGCGGGACAAGAAGCTGGCGGCCAAGAAGAAGACGGACAAGAAGCGGGCTCTGCGGCGGCTGTAGTGGGTGCTTCCCTCCCCACACCTGCCTGACCCTCAACTCTGTCTCTAAGTTATTTAAGTTATGGCTGGGGTGGGGGAGGGCATGGGGCACTGGGACCTGGATTTGTTTTTCTAAATAAAGTTGGAAAAGCAAGCAACTGCTGTGCCTCTTAGTGTCCCAGGACCAGCCTCTGCTGTGGGGAGCGCACAGCAGGTGGCACATGGCCCACCGCAGTGGGTCCCTCAGCCCAGCTGGCCTCCTGGTTGAGCTCTGGGACCACCTCTGTGTATGGTCTCAGATTTCCCATCTAAAACGGAGTGAGGGGAGGGG